TAATATTAAATAAGGAGTACTGGCTTTTTTGTTGTTGATGTTTTGTGTTTTATTAACAGAGAGGATACATAGGAATTGGGTGTCTATTTTATTACTTTCTTCATATTTCATTTGCATTATTTCCATTCTTATTATCTTCCAGATGGGCGAATTAGTTAGTTAAAATATTTTTCAATGTAATTTATTCAGTACTTCACTAAAAATTAATCAAATGCTATACTTTTCCAGCAAAATTGCTTACATGATTGCCAATTGTATTCCTAAATAATTAGTTAAATTCCTCTAATCAGGTGTGTGATTTTATACAGAAAATTACAATTGAGGAGGATACAGCTGAACTTGTAACTAGAAAACAAGACACAGTGAGAAATATGAAAGTGCAGGCTATTTAGCAAGTTAGATTTGTTCTAAATCAAAACCTTATTCTTTCAAGCAGAGGGAGTGCGTGATGTTAGTTTTTAAGAGACTTGAAAGAGTCTTGATGACTTGACAGTCTGGTATATATATTTCCATCAGTCTCAAAATGATTTTTAAATCCTGCAGTGTCATATGTAACTGACTCTTTTACTTTCAGCATAACACAGTAAAAAAAAAAAAAAACAAGAACAGCCTAAGCATTTCAAATTACATTACCTTTTATTCCCCCTGCTTAACCTGATGAAAAAAGGGGTGAAATTTACTGTGTTTTCTGCTATCTTCTCTTAAATAATTAGTACTTCAGGAGTATTAACCTTTCCACTGATTTCTTACCACAGCTCTTTTTCCTCTGTGATGCTCCAAATGCCAGGGGAAGGACTTCCAGCTTATCGTCACTTCAAGCAATTAATAATAAAGCTTTACAAATATAAGGAAAATAAATACATCATTAGATGTAATGTCTAAATAATTTATTTCCTTCCACTACTACCCAGTATTAAGCAATATCTAAAACATTTACTCAGAACTTTGCATTCTCAATACACCTTGCAAATATGGACTAGTGATTAATATGTGTTTGGGGGGCAGTGGGGTATGGTTATCCCTTACCTTGTTGGAGTTGACCACTCTGGCTGCTTGCTATGATACAGGAGTGATATCCATGTCACAGTATTGAACAGTTTCCCAGTTAACAGGGAACTGTGCAAAGGTCTTACACTAGGTAGAAAATTAGTTAAATATTTCCATGTTTTCCTGGGGACGAGACACAAGTTAACACTGTAAATCTGCAAGTGCTTGAGCAGGGGATTTCTGAGGCAAAAGGGCAAATCATAACACTTTTCTACTCTCGTAAGACTTGCTGTGTGTACTCATCTATGGCACTAAACTGTCTCAGCTCAAAATTGCCGCATTGTTTTATTCCTGGATTGGTGTCTAGCACCAATTACGATCTAGGGAAGTGATGTTTTAAACTTTGTCAGAGACCTTCTTGCCCTTTGAGCCAACCTGTGTCTGGGATGTGTTCCAGGGAATTTCTGAGAGATGATTCTTCCAGCTGGTTCTGGCTGAGTTTTGCTGGTGTAACACAGCACAGAGAACGTGCTGACTCTGTGCCGGTATGAATGTCATTTTGGTAGGGAATGAGAACACACAGGGGCTGCAGAGACAGCATAACACACACTTACTCTCTGTCCAGCACAATTTTCCCAGGCAAATATGCACTAGAGAAGCTGTGAAAGATACAGTCAGGTATCACCTAGGAAGAGAGAGCACAGTCCTGTGGTTAAGAGTGGGCCACAAGGAACTGCAAAGGTGTCCCTGCATTCATTTTGCGTTCTGGGTTATAGTGGGAGTGCTATTATTTAAACTTCAGTTTAGAGGATGCCATTTTCTCTGTGCTGTAAAGGCTCAAAACACTGCACCACAATGAGTGTGTGTCACAAATACTGGGCAGTGAATCTTCTCTGCATAGTATCTCCCATTTCCAGAGTTGGCCTTCTGAAAGTGCTCTCTCTTCTCAAAAGCTATTTGCACACACAGCAGATTGTCTTCCTGATAAGGTCAGCTCCTCAAGGACCAGGGCATGAGTCAAAGGACTTTTTCAAGGAAGCACAGAGGACTGTCACTGGTACAGAGACAGGCTGTTTCCTGTCTATATTTTTTGTGCTTTCCTCAGAGAGCTAAATCCTGTTGTCCTTATTTAGTCCTTAGATACTCAAAGTCTTCATTAACATCAAGGGTAGGCTTTGCCTAATTTTTGCCAGACTAGGTAAATTCATTTTTAGCAAGGACAGCTGGGTTAGTTTAAGTTGCATTACCAGAAAGAGGTGCTGCAGGAATCCCTATGCATAAAGTATATATGCATTTTACAGTTTTCTGTTGGTTCTTTTTTTTTTTCCACAGTCTGAGGGCAGCAGCTCCCAGTGAAGTCAAAGAAAGCCTTCCTATCACCTCAGAGGCCTTAGGTTGACTTTAAAATGCTAGTCCTGATAGATTCTGAGTTGAATGAGTTGAATGAGTGAGTTGCCTTCAAGTCAATATGCTGCTAGGGTGCTTTTTTTTTTTTTTTTTTTTTTCAAAACACACCTAAAGCTTATCTTTTCTTAGTGCAAAACTTTCACTTGGATATATTTTAACTTCTGCTTGCAACATATTCCAGCTGTGAAACCTTAGTTGCCAAAACACGTGTGGCATACAATTCCATATTTATGTATAGATATTACTCCCTTTTATATGCAGAAGTGCCTTCTAGTGTTTCTCCAGGAAGATATGAAAGTCCATCTGTGCTCCGTCTGCCTCATCCAGGTGTCTGGGTCACTCTGCAATGTTTAATATGACAAAATACCACCTATATTTAGTTAATCAATCAGATCACTATCCATCTACCAGTGGCTAGATTTTGATTCATCTGGAATAATCAGAAGTGAAATAATCAACATGCCTGAGCTATGGTTGTTCTACACCTTGATTACACGATTTGTATTACTATAAAGAAACAAAAGTGTGCAACAAATGCCCTGAATCTGATATGATATTGCCTTGCTATGTCTTGCATAGGGATCAAAGGCAACATGAAAGCTAGTCCTCAAAACTCAGACTTCTACTACTTTTTTTCCAACACATTAAAAGGTTGAGATGCAGGAGGACAACAGATGTCATTTTCACCTTTCTATCTGTGTTGGAGGTTAGAGGAACAGAGAAATGATAGATAAATGGAACTGGAGCCCTGGGTGAGCAGTCATCCTCTGAAGGACCTCAGAAACTTGGGCCCATACCTCTGTACTAGAAAGAGAGTTGCAGCTCTGTGCCCTGTAGATACCAGGCAGAAATGTCAAAATATTTTGGTTCTGATCTGCAGCACCCTGACTGACCTCAACACAATCATGTTAAATCATAAAGTCTGGATCCAGATTTGATTCTGAGCTTCACAAAAGTCTGTAGAAATCAGGATCTTGCAGTTTATGATTTTAAGAATATCTATACCTGGCCTGTGATCCTTGCTGACAGAAAATGAAGCCCTCTGCTTTCAGTGGTGGTGACTATTGAATTACATCTGCCTTCAGCTGATGTATCAGACCCATAGTAAGAGAACAAATGTTCCCCCATGTAAAAGCAAAAACATTGAGATAAATGGCCTATAAAATGAGTGCATGAGTCTGGCCTCATTTTTGTCACATACCTCTTTAACTTCGTTCAAAGTGTTTATTTTTGTAATGTGCAGCAGGATGAATTGACATTGCTGACCTGCACCTTATGCACTTTAACGGCCGTTGCATCCTTTCCAGAAAGTTTCATTTCTCCATTATGTAACGGCAAGTTATCTGGGCTGGCACGTTAAAGGGTGGTAACTGGAGCACACTGGCTGGGTGTGGTGAGTGTCAGTAGGCTGTCAAGATACTTCAGGCCCCGGAGCGGTTGCTGGCACTGAAAGCAGAGGAGAACCTCCTGCCCTGGCCCTGAGCACTGCAGAGACACACGCAAAGACTGCAGTCAGCACTAAGATCTTTTGACCTCCCTTATCTAAGACTATTTCCCTTCCTTCCAATCAGAGAAACATTTGGGAGCTGAATGTCATTAAACACTGGGTCTCTCTGTGTAAATACAAAATATACTTGTATCCAAAGCAGGAAAATAGATGTGACGAATAAAAGAAATAATTTCTTCTTCCTGTTTCAGCTGGAAAAAATTTTACTGTTTCCCTTCTCCTTACCATGAATTTTAAAAGTAAAGGGAAACGCCTGTTATTTGCAAATTGTTGATCATAAGAGCTGTATTTTCCTCCTATCTCCATTTGAACAACTAAATCTGTAGCACTCTGCCAGAGACTGTTTTAATTAGGCTTCTATCTTTTTCAAAGAACTTTCATCTCTGTGTATTTCTGGCAGTTCTATTAATGAGATGGAGCCATTTTGGTTGCTTGAAACCTAACCATAAAAAATGGCTTTACTAGTGCTGCTGACTTGCTCTTTGCTTCTGAGAAAGTTTCTTTGTGCCATGTTCTTGCCACTGTTATGGCTTCAAATGGTTAACATGTGAATGATCATGAAATCATTAATCCAAATTCATAAAACAGCTGAAAAAAATACTCCGGAGTACTACCAAATCCTATAACTGAAAGACATATCCGCTTTACATCAATTCATATGTATTAAATCCATGTAAAGGATATAAAAGAAACACTATTAAACTGACAACTTTATGACCTACAGACCTCGTTACCAGTAAAGCACCATACTTTAGGCATTCATGCACATGCCTAACTACGCAAGCATCTACCTGCTTCTGCAACACTTGGTTTTCCCTGGGCTTCCACAACAGCTCTTAAAAGAAATTCCACAAGTTTGTGAGGCTTATTTTTTTTTCTGAGAAAAACAAACTCCATCTCTTCATGACATAAAAAGTACATGCTAAAGTCAGTGTAGCAGAATAGTTAATCTACAATCTTCCTACTTTGCACAAAAGCTGTGCAAGGCACCAGCCAGAGAAGCCCTGAGTACTGATTGAAACAGCTTATCTGGCAACTAGATAGGCCACATATTCAAACTCTTCAGTAAAATTTTTTCGCTTGCTGCTTTTTTCCCTAGGTAAAGTGGAAGCAGCACTGGACCTCATACTGATCAATTCGTTCCCTCTGGTGGGCAACTCCGAGACATCACTTATCTGTATCACTTCCAAATGGCGTTCTCGTGAGTCTATCACAATAGACCGAGACCAGGAGGATGTGACAAACCAGCATCGGGAACCATTGGAAGTTAATGAAGATTCGAAGAGAGCAACAGCCAAAACAGTGGTGTGGAAGAGGGAACAGGCCAGTGAAACTATTGGAGCATATTACTGTGAAGGGAAACTGAAGGATGAGGTGACAAGAATACATACCATGAAGATGCCGCTGGGAGGTACTGTATGGTGGTCACATCTGAATTTTGCATGTCATTGCTTGCAGATTGGCAGTTATCCCTGGTTGACACAAGTGGGAATAAACGTGGCTCCAGAGCAGGCAAACAGTCTGGAGTCAACAAAAATAGATTTGGCTTAAGCCCATGTGTTTTTTTTCTAAAGTGCAGAGACAAGTGGTCGATACTAGCTGCTAGTCATTTCCTCGTGGAAGTCAGTCAGACATCTGTAGGTATTCTGCGTCTATCTGGCTACTGCCAGGATCACAGAGTCAGGTGGCAAATAAGGTAAGTACTGGCCTCACTGATGTCATGAAGTAACACATATGGTAGCTCCTGTACTGGGTTTTTCATATCCCAGACCCTTGATATATAAACATACTTCCATTTTAAAGTCTTGACAGGTCTGAGATGTAGATAGCCAGACATCACTGTTTTTTCCTTTTTTAATAAATGGGCAACCTGAGCCTAGAAAATAACCGCCTTGACTGAAGTTCAGTAAACCTACAGATCAGCAACGTTGGATCTGAAGTCTGTGTCAATATGAAAAAAAAAAAAAAAAAAATATCCAGCCTAACACTGGAAAGAAACTCCAAGGAAGTCTTCCAAAACCTAAGGAGGGTATTTGCGAAAATACGCTATGAATTTCACTATTGAATTGGTTTTGGTTTTAAGATTATGCACATTATAAAAATCAAATATGACAGGGAGATGGTGGGATGAGAAGTTGTGATTTCCAAGCACCAGCATCTAATTGTTAAACTAAATTTTCTTATGTGCAAAATTTCACTGTCTCTGGACCTCACTAGATTTCTGAAACAAGTTTCAAAGCAGACATCACCATAAACTCCAGAAAAATGCAAGAAATTTTGGCTAATTTTTTGCATCAAATCAAGTTTTCAAGACTTCAGCCATTTTTTAGCAGGCTTTGCTGTATTGCTGAAGTTTTGTGCCATGACAGCTAGTCTGTGAGGAGACTCGACAGTTTTAATTTTTCTTTATAAGGTTTTGGTAAGAGCAATGATTATTGTTGGTATCTCCTGAAATTATATAGCAAATTTAGAAAATAAGGTTTTTAATTTGAGCTACATTAGTGTCTAATTATTTCTTTTTAGTATGTGAATGTTAGTAACAAGGTGGGCAGGACAAGTGCATTTTTCTTTGGCTTATGTTTTCTCTGACCAAATGTGGTCTTTGAAGGGTTGGACTGGTCACCAAGAAAGCTCTGCAGATGCTGGCTGACAATTCCATTGTTTCAAAGGAGGCTGCAATGGGGAGGAGATAACAGTCCATGGACAGTCAATGTTACCCTGCCTGTGGCAGAATGTCAGTGAACTGAGAACTTCTCTGGCTGTCATGTAGAGCAACCTCCATGGGTGGAAGAGTGTTTTCTGAATCAATCAGATTTTTGCACTTAGTATCTGTGGACCTAGGAGCAGAGAATTTAATCAAACTTTGAGAGCTTCCTGTGTGACAGAAGTTTTTCTAACCAGAAATAACACAACATTCACACCAGCGGTAGGTAGGATTATTTGAATAATTTCTGGGTTTGAATCCATTTCTCAGATTTTCTCTGCAAAAGCTTTCACTGACAAAATTTGAGCCAGCAACTCGATGAACACGTATAATCTAATCAGACTAGATGGGTGAGAAAGAGGCACAAGAGAAATTCTCAAAGTTGTTACAGGGCACAAAAAGAGGAAGAAAAAGTCAGTGAAGGACTCTGAGATTTGGCAAAGCATCTGCGGTTGGAAAACAGGCATTTTTCCCCTTTACTGTTGTCTGAATAATTTTTAAAGGCAGAATCTGTTTTTCAACACCAAAAATCGAGCAAGAGTTGAAGCGTGAAGTTTCCCCGTTGAGGACACAAAAGGCACGGGAAGGAGCAGCACTTCTGAAAACCCAGCCACTGTTTTGCAGCCTCAAGGCAAGAAGCTCTGAAACACTCACTAAGCATTTATCATTTGGGTAGCCCCACTGACTTTAGTGGGAACTGTCACCTGACAGATTATATACCTATTATCAGATATGCAGGTACAGTGAAGATTTTTGCTGTATAATACAGAAAGATAATAGTTTTGTTTTTCTGTTTTGCTCTGCACATCTGCCATTCTGAAAGAGGCTGTTCTTCTGAATTTTTTATATTGTAGCAATATGATTACACGTGTAATATTCATACATCCAATGTGAGGGAACAGAATACATTTTATATATGTATGGGGAGTAATGTTTATACTATGTACAGCACACATATCTATAATAGAACACTATATATCCTATTCTGCATCTAGTCAAATATAATTTATGTAATTTCTCTACACAATAAATGAGTATTTTCATATATACAATTGAGTTTCCCCCACAGAAACTATCAAGAGTGGGAAAGGGACAATAATGGAAATGCTAGTGGCAAAGCATTGTGGCACTTGCCATGCAACTCATTTCATTATGTCTCTATAAGGAATTGGCACACTTGATGTGAAATCATGAAATACAATTTACAATCTAAAAATACATTGGAACTGAGCCTACCAGGGAGTGTGCATTCCTTTTCATTGCAACAATACTCTGAAGAAAAAGTCTTGTGGTTAAGCATACAAAGAAAAGAAGATGGGAATACAAAAGTTTAATATCTTGTTAAAACAATTAGTAATGCCTCACAAAATCTGGTCCAAAAAACACTGCAATTAAAACACTCAGGATCATTTGCACTAGCAATTCATTTTTGGGAATGCTGTTGAATTTTCTTTTCCTAAATAGATCATGTTTTTCACCATGCATTTGTTATTCATAAATAATTTCTAACACAGGAGCTGACAGTAAGTTGGGACTGCTTTCAGTTTTTGTTTGCCAGTTTCTAATGAGATCTTATTTCATTATTCTATATTAGAATTCTCTGTTTCTCTAAGATGCAAGTTCAGATACCAATGTCTAGGTAACATGGCAAATACTCAAGAGATTCCCATGGATGTGCTTAGTATCGTGCAGGAAGAGTCCTGCAAAGATTCGTTGGATGGCGCTTACAAATGAATGAAAACACGTGGCAGAGACTCAGAGCACAAACACTAGAACTCCTCAAGGGATGGAAATTCCATTCTACAAAGAATTGTGATTTTTCAGTAGTTGTCTAATTTCTAATCAGAAATAAAGCATAAAAATGTCAAAATTCTGAAGGAAATAAAATTCTGGAAGAGTTGTTGGCTTGGAATGATAGAAATGTCTTCATTTTTACTCAAATTATCTTTCTTTAATTTTACATCATGTAACACAAATATTTTGATTTTTAATTAAAATGCCATTCTGAAATAGAAGTATTAAAATGTTATTTCCTCAAATATTACAAGAAAACTACCCTTTCCCCGCCCCAGACTTTACAAAATTACATTGTGGAGGTACTAACACAGTTTCAGCCTCATAAAAACTTCGATGTAGCATCTGCCTGCTCATTTTTTACAGCTCTATTAGATATACAATATAACAGAAAGTTGGTTAATCATATTTTCTCTTCTTTCTGATCCTATCTCTGTGTATTTCTTTTCCACCAAGTTTCAGCCACAGACTCTAAATTTGTTTTTTTGCAAGCATTGGTATGAAACAAAGTATACCTTTTTGACAGTTTTCTAGAAATGGACTGAAAAAAAGAGACATGGTTATAGATAACCGACAATTTCTTATTATGTTGTCTAACAGTTCTTATTAACTTGTTTATGTGTTCCTTAAACAAATTATTCTTTGTGAAATAAGTGTGGCTTCAATAGAAATGGAACCTGTGCAAGTGCAGAGCCAGCTAGGAGCATGAATGGCTCTCCAAGGATTCCTTCCCACTGCAACAGGTGGATCCTTCTGTTGGAAAGGTTCCACTCACTTTGCTGGGGAGGCTGGTAGCAGCACAACCAGGCTCCCAGGAGCTGAACAAAAGCAAGATGCAGGATGGACTTACCCAAGAAGAACTTGCACAGGAGGAATTCTAGGGCAAAACAGACTCAAAAAGAGAACGAAAGAGGCTGGTGAAAATCAATGCCTTGTTCCCCTGGGTGCTCTAAAAGGGAAAGTACAAAGGTGTAACATTCTCACTCAGATAGAGAGATGAATAGTTTGGAAGCTAGCTTTGTCTAATTCTAGAATAGTTTCTGTAATCTTTTTGTCACATGACATATCAATGACCAAAAAACCTGAATTTTTCTTCAAAAAACTTCACAGCTTTCCCTTGGAATTTTTCAACTAAATGAAAGGAAGCATCCTTAACTTCTAATTTATTTCAAAGTAATGTTGCAATTAAAACTGTCATTTCACTGGATTCAAAAAGTAATATTTCTTGAGATTATTTACCCAATTATCTTCCGATACTTTTTTTTTTCACTAGTAATGATAAATAAAAGGTAAACATTTAGTGAAAATCTATATACTACTTTATTCTTTTTCTTATATCAAGAACTATAAACAAATGTATAAAAGTACTTCTCTGTTTAAGCAGAAAAATGAATTTCAGTTTTTCAAATTGAAAAATATCACTGATCTAGCCAGCTCTTCCCACAGAATTTTGTTTTTCTTAAGCCACATTTTCAGATAAGAATATTTTGGTAAAAGTACCACTGGCTGTGAATATGCTTTTTTCTTTTGTTCTTAGTGCAAGCCAACAATCATAGAGAGCACTATGAACTAACACAAGCACAGACCTGCTCTATCTTACTACATATCCCCCAGACCCTGCATGACTGTGGTCTTCTGAACTATCTTAATTGTTCTGCATCATAAAGTTATAGAGAAAAGAACTGAGTCATTTGGGGTATTTGTTTGCCAATGACAGCTTGTTCCTTACAATACATTTTCCAGTACTTCATCCAGTCTGCTATAAAAATGTCTCAAGGGATGAAGAAACTTGGGAAAGTGTTTTACAGCCAGTTGGAGCTCCTAGTCAGGAAGTGTTACAGTTACTCAGCCAAGGTCCAATTTTAACTTTTTTTTATTTCATGCCCCAAGTTCCAGTGGCAGTCTGTTGTTTCAAGGTATAGAGGAGTCCTCTATCTTTGACAAAACATAGAGTTGAGATTGCTGGTGTTAAAAATTCAGTGTGTGCTTTAAAGAAATGTAAATGTTAAAATCTGAGTCAGGAGCATGATGTAAACCATTTTCAGTTTTCAGAACAGAGACCAGATAGAGTCAATAACTGCTGCTATTTATCCCATACTTCTGTCCTGTTCTGTTTTCAGCCTCATTCCACCCGGTGGCATTAACTGTTACAGCGAATAAGGGAGAACATGTGAATATCTCCTTCATCAGAATGGCAGCAAAAGAGGAAGATGCAGTGATCTACAAAAATGGTAACTAACTTTTTTCTTTCATCTTTTCCGTTCCTGCTATCATTGCCTTAGCCAAGCGTCACGTAACTGTTTTAAAGTCATTGCTGATGATGCCCATGCTGTGCAACTGGAACAGACATAACTCCTCATGTGTTTAATGCTACCTAAAGGAGCCATTTTCCATATCCAATATACTGAGTAGACCTGTTTCTCTTCCACCAGAATGCCAAATCCTCTGTTTACACCTTTGCTTTGTTTCTCATTTTCCTTTTTGATGTTCTCCTATATCTCTTCATACATTTACCTGGTTGATTTTTGCATTTTTTCTGTTAGTTACTCCCTAGTTACTGCGTTTTTCTTTGCATTTCTATTACTTTTCAAGTGCATACCTTTACTTCTTCAAATGGCTTTTAGAGGCCATTTATCTTCTGTGATGATCTTTAGGCTAAGAAATTAAGCACTAGTAATATGCTATTAAAGAGGCAAAACTGTCAGTAAAAACTAATCCTTATTTCATTCAACTATAAAAATTAATCGGGTTGTAAAATTTATGAGACCAACTTTTCTTTCTAACTTAATTCACATGTAACTCACTGTTCATCAGTGTGTTGCTACTGCTTGACATTTGGAAATATGTGCAGTTTCCTATCTACCTCCTGTAGAAATGTAGGAAAATACTGGTCACTGAAGATCACAGTGTCTTCAAACTTAATCAGAATGTTAGACACCAACAAATTATAGTTGTGGAAAGCACACATAATGTACTGGTCCATCTTTTTCTACTGATAGTGGAGCTTGCAGTGAGCTACTGGGAAACAGGGAGTAAATAGAGCAGAATAAAGTAAGGAAGTGTCAGCACACTGCAAAAGAACTCATGCAGTGGGTCAGATTCAACCCCAGTTACTGAACACTTGGAGCACTTCTCTACAGGCTGGAAGAGAAAAATAACCAAAAGGTGTCTTTTTAAAAGGCAATAGGCAAGGTAGAGTTTCTTAAAGACTTGGGTTTTTGCTCTTCAGAGATTCAGCTATGGCAGTGAACAGTGGAGAAAGTTTCTGTCATTTGTCCTTTTAGGGTCCATGGAGAAATTTAGTGATCTCCCATCAGCATTTTCTTATACAAGAATCAGCTGATATGTTAGAGCTGGAGTGCTTGCATCATGGTGCTGACTTAGCTGGGATTCCAACTGGAAATTTGGCAAAAAACCTCAAATTAACCATGACTCTGGACAATAGGTCAAGTTCTCCACCTGAGACTGCAGCTGAAATAACATCCCTAAGGAATCCTGATCTAGCAACTGGCAAAGAAGAGAAAATACTTGTCCTCTTATGTTTAACTGTTGCAGTCTTCCACTTCAGCCATTTAACACATTTAACATACCACTTCCCCCTTGCAGATCCTGACAAAGGCTGTCTAGACAATGAAACTGTTCTGCTAAACAAAACTGCTTTAAGACATTGGTGTAACACACGCTGTGTTAGAAAACAAGCCACAAAACCTGAACCTTGCTAACAGACTGTGAGCATAGGCTTTCTTATCACTCTGCTGCCAAGTTTGTTTTGCAGCTTCTAACTCAAAAGATACACAGAAAAAGCTCTACAGTTTCAGAATTAATCCCTTTCATTCTTTGCTCTGATTCTTTGGTCCCATTTTCTTGAAGAACTGGTATGAGTTATCATGGAATAAACTGACCCAAGATCTTTTTGCTGATTTGATTATGATCCTCAGAAATGTTTTATCTTTCTAGGATGCCTGAAATTTTACTATAGTCAAATTGATAGTATGATCACAGACAGAAAATGTCCTGCCTGACACTCTATACCTTCTAAATTATTTCAAGAAAGTGAAAAAGGTTGTTTCATTATCAGTGTAACTGTAAGGGGATGTAGAAGGTAAGACCATTTGATTTGTGGGAGTATCATTTGGTTAGCGGTCATTCAGCATAAAAAACTAAGACAAGAAACAAGAGAAGTAATAAATAGACACACAAGCCCTAAACAGTAGCATACGACAGAGAAAACATCAAAGGGCAGAGCTCTCCAGCTTCTGAAGGCCACTGAGGGAACAACACAAAGCTCTGAGCAGCTTCAGCCAGAGCTTTGTAGGCCTAAGAAGCAGGAAGCAGGATTATCATGGGTTTCAGGGGGAAAAAGCAAACAATATGGCATAATTGAGTGGGGCTGTGAGCATATGTGAAATAAGGGGATATTTAGAGAAAGAGCCATACAAGAGAAAGGGAAGACTCAAAGTGAACAGGAAAGGAACAAGCATGGGAAAATGGAGTAGAAGGCAGGTGAAAAGTTCCACAACTTTGGCCAAGCTCTGGAACTATAGTAGGTCTGATTTTATTAAAATCTATATTCTTAATTATTCTTCAACAGAAGTGTGCTGTCTACCTGGTGTGCATATGTATAATGTGATAGTGACCTTCACGCCAGACTGGAAAACACACCAGTTTTGACTCCAAGTAACTGGAAACACATGCCAGGGGTCAAAGGGGCTTGTATGTCTGGGGACAGCAACCAGTGAGACTAAATCTAAGGCCAGTTGCGTCAGGGACCCATTTGCATGTGCGTGTGTGTGTGCGTGTGTGGCTCTAATGAACTTCAAGCCAATCTAATCAGAGAGGAGGATATGAGGTCTGAGAGCTAGCCATTAGAAAGACAGTAGGTCTAGGCCAGCTAAGACCTGATTTTGGGTGTGTGAGTATATGAGGTCTGCCAGCAAGCCTGACTAGCTGGCAAGTGAGAATAGGGTTGGGCTGCCTGGAATTTTTGTGTGCATGTGAGTCCTGTGTGCACATGCAGTACCTGTAAAGGCACAACTCCACTGTGTGGGTCTGTTGGCGGCTGAGTACAGTGTGTGTTAGCATGTGCATGCATGCTTTGGTGATAGCTGGCTGGACTTGTCATTAGCTGGCTGCAGCAACCTTGCTCTAACACAACGGAGTAGCAGGACTCCCAGAGGTCCTGGAGTCCATTGGATGCAGCTTCTCTTTGACTGCAACCAGTGTTCAAATGCTGTTACTTGGTGATCCAGATGGATGGGAGAAGACCAAATGCTATTGCCTTACTTAGCAAGCACGTATGATCAACTACATCAAACCTAGAATGACACAGAAAAGCTCCATTGGTGAAAAAAGATAGAAGAGGCAGAAACATGTTAAGTCTGGGAAGTAAATATAAAGCTGTGCTGTGTTCTTCCTGGTTTGGTCTACTCAGTAAAACTTTATGCTCCTCGGATTAAATAGGACCCGGCTGGCACTTGATATTTGACTCTTTCCAGCTACTCTTGGCTTCTTACAGATCATTGCCTCTCACTGCAGGAAAGGCCAAGAGACAAAGTGAACATGTTTAACCACTAGACTCTCAGTAACACTCCCGTAAAGCAGTGTTGAATGTGGAGTTGTTTGTCCCACTCATCTAATAAATCTCCTCAAGATCTACCTTCCTTTTTACTTGCACCTCTCCAATTATCATAAAACTAGTATAGCTAAAGAGCGGTCAGCAAATTCATAACTAATAAATAGATTCTGCATCTTAGCTCATCCCAGTTGTCCTTCCCCAGTAACCAATGCAAACTCACTTCTGTCTGTAGAGGGTGAATAACTTCTGTCTGTTGTACCTGTGTTCTCCTTCCCCAGGTTCCTTCATCCACTCTGTGCCCAGGCATGAAGTGCCAGGGGAGCTGGAAGTCTCCTATGCTCAAGTTCAGCCACAGGATGCAGGGGTTTACTCTGCGAGATATATAGGAGGAAACCTCTTTACTTCTGCTTACACAAGGCTTATTGTAAGACGTAAGTTTCATTAATGTGTGCTAATGATTAATTATTTAAAGTCATAGTGAATCTGAAATGAAACTTATACTGTGCCCAAATAAGGGCTAAAGTCTTTCTTGGCATAAACTTTCATCAGATTATGTCGAAGAAATTTTTTCCCAAGGATCTTTGGTACAAGCTGATACTGATTTAAGCAACTGAGAGAGAAAAACAAACAAAAAAAAAAAACCAAAACAAAAAAAAAAAAAAAAACAAAACAAAAGAAAACAAAATAAAACAGATTTTGGTTCAATTCATTTTAGATATTCCCAGGACAGCTAACTCTTTTCTCCACTTCTCAGCTTTTCAAACACCAAGTATGAACAAAGGAGGTGGCACTCCCATGAATATGAGATGTGGGTCTGAGCACTAAATATGAATTCTCAAATGTCTATGTTCTCTATTGTGGGCTGTATCCAAACCCCATATATCCTAAGATTTATCATCCTTAACATACATTATTGTAACCTCATAATCTACTCCTGCTTTAACTAGCTCTTAAAATTCCCCTCCCAGTGGATGACAGGACCACTTTACAATGCAGGCAGATATTTTCCATTAAGTATCCTACATGTCCTGTAGCTCTTGCTGTTATGTCCATTTTCATCAGAGATATATAAAATGATATTGTATTAACTTAGAGAGAAATATAAAACTGATACGTAAAAATAAACAGCTGTACGAATATATTATATTATGGAGAAAATGTTTCTGATGGTAAAGTATATTTTGCTTGCTAACATCCACAGGATACTTCCAGGAGCTGCAAATATATTAATATAATGCCCCAAATTTGGATTTTGAAGCTATTGCCACCTTATTAAATAAAATGGTCCAAGATCTCTTCTATAGTCTAGTGCCAAGCTACACAGCAGAAGACTTATCCATAAATTCTGTCCCCTGCCTTGAGCTAGGCTATTGTCTTGCCCATGCTGCCTATTCGGAAAACTCCTGGGTCAGTCTGGGAGAGCAGTAGGGAGCACAGTAACAATAAAGAGAATGGACGATTACATGCCACTGCTCAAACGCATGGCCTGTCTTTCTCTGAATTAGCATTATAGACACAGACTGATGACTTTTAGCGAAGATTTTTTTTTTTTTTTTAAGTATCCATATGTAAGAATTTCATTCTGGGAGAAGGAGGAAATAGATCTCCAAGTGCCATGTCGATTCATTAAAATGCTTGCTAAAATCTGAAAAAGCCGATCCAATGATGGATTACTCAGTTTTAGTGAGTCTGCCTCAGGACTTTCCAGTTTATTATTTTCTCAGTCCTAGCTTCACACTAGAGGAAGACATGAAAGTCAGTTTCTATGATGTAAGAAACATCATTAAAAATAAAATAATTAAAATTATTGAGTCCTCACGGCTTCCACTGATTTCAAAAGCAGGTCAAACAATTTTGCATCTTGTAAGGACAGTTGAAGCATTTGCATGATGAAGTCATATATACTTGTTTAGAGCTTGAGCTGTGCTTCTGTTAAATCAGTAGCAAAACTCTCACTGGCAGGATTAAAGTTAGTAGCAGCTTTTTAAATTATAAAATGAGAAAGACAATCATGACAGGTATTAAAACAACTCATTGCTCTCAGTCTATTTATTCCAGAAAGAGGTCACCAGCTGATTAATCTGTGTTATAAAGAACCAGCGAAGATAGTAAAGACACAACAGATGTGAACTTGGCCTAATGAACTTTCAAGAAAAATATTGTTAAAAAAAAAAATCATGACTTGTCAAATGCTGGTACAATGCCAGTGATGTCAAGTTTGCTCCTGTTGGCTTACTACCCATGTAGCCAGCTCCAGATGAAGCCTGGACCTTTTGTAGATCTCAGATTCCTGCTACAAGAATAGAAATCTTAAATATAACATTTTTGTCAACTTCCAAACTTACCCTTACAAACTAAAAAAAAAATCTATCCCCAGTTTCAAAAAAGGAATGTTTTTCAGCAGTTCTGATCCAGAAATAGAGGCATTTCCATGATGAAAAAAGTGATTCCTTATATTAGGTCAGTTGGTTGGGGTTTGGGGGGATCCCTATAGATCATATTTTTATGTATTTTACTATTTGTCTTAATTAAAAATAATTTTATTATTTGACTGTTCACTAAATAAGAAGACAACAAATATGTCATTATATTTTTCCATAAAAGGATGTGAAGCTCAGAAATGGGGCCCTTCCTGTAGTTCCCACTGCCCTTCCTGCATGAACAATGGCATTTGTCATGAAGATACTGGGGAATGCATCTGTCCTCCAGGTTTTATGGGAAAAACATGTGAAAAAGGTAAGCAAATATTATTTTCACAGATTGCTTATCAATTTGTTCCCAGTAGCAGACGTTGGCAGACTACTGAGGGAAGCAGAAGATAGAGTAGCCTGGTTTTACTCTTTATAGCTATAACATTTACAGCCAGTGTTGGAGACAGGACAGTGTTGGGTGAGATGAACCCTGAATTAGTAAAGCTGTTCTTGTAGTTATGATTTAACTTCTCCCTTTCTTCTCCTAGTAGAGATTATATTGCTAAGGAAGATTAATGTTTCCAACTCTTCTGGATCAATATGTACTTTAGACAGTGTGCTAGATAATGTCATCTACGCTCCTTTTCCCACGAGAGGCTGGACCAGATGATCTTTTGAGGTCCCTTCCAACCTGGGCTGCTCTAAGATTCCCCTGAAATCAGTATGCTCATTTACTTCCTGACTGCTAAATGCATGGTAGAATAGGAGATCTCAAGGATACACTGGCACTAGGAAATGGACCCCTGTGTTAGAGATTGCCCGGCTACTTCTGAACACATTGCTACATGCTCACAGAGTGATTTGTCTCTGCAGGGGCATATCAACTGTATATGTCTGTGCTTATCTGTGTCTGTGACAGTTTAGATTCTGTAAGAATTACAGCAGACATTACATTGTTCTAATCTCTCCAAGCAACTTTTGGGCTCAATGCTAGATATGTCTCCTAATGTTATGACTGAATTGCAGTGCAGCAGATTCTAGAGCTAAGTTTTGGAATAGTTGGCACCTGAACCACTCTAACATAGCACTAATTTTATCAGAAAAACAAAAGGTTGATTTTGGCAGTTTCATATGCATTGACCTCTAAGAAGAATATTTGATTTTCAAGGCATTGTTTGTCCATTTTATGTTAAAAAGTCTTATAAAGAGGGTTTATTTCTGGAGCTCTGTCCCTACATACCCAAAATAATGGGTGCTCTGTTGATGGATCCTCACATGAGAGAAAGTTAAGTTTGTTTCTGATGCCTGAATTTAACCATTCATGCAGCTGTGGCTTAAGTTATTATGGATGTTAATACATCTGGTATCTGAATGGTAAAAATGCTATTTTTTATTATAATTCATGTCTTCTGTTGTCTAAAGATGTATCATTAGCATTAGCTCTTTTATGGACTTAATACTGTTAAGCTGTTCTTTCTCTCTCTCCCTTCAATAGCTTGTGGAGCCAATACATTTGGCAAAACATGTGAAGAGAGCTGTAAAGAAAACTATGGGTGCAGAAACTACATGTTCTGCCTGCCAGATCCATATGGCTGTTCCTGTGCCACAGGATGGATGGGACTGGAATGTGATAAAGGTATAGTAAAAAATATGAGTAACTGTGGAGTCCTTAGTGTGCTCCACATCGGAAATACAGAAGGGAACTAACAAAGGAGAGTAAAAGTCAAGATCTTTTACATTCTGTAAAATAAGGATAATAATATTTACCCATCTCAGAGGACCATGTCAGATTCTCAGAAGAAGGACATAGTAAAGTTGAAACTATTGTAATTATTCTTCAAAATGAATTGACATTCTACTGAGACATTAAATATCCTCTAACAGTTATTATCCTGCTGTATTTCTACAAGTCGAACTGAGCAAATTGGTACCAAATCCATTGATGAACAATACTGAGCATAATCAGTCTTGTTCACTTCAACTAGATTGCAATATATTTGGGACACGAAGGACATTTTCCCTTATGAATATGTGTCATCTTGTTCAACAGTGGTATAATTCTGATGAAGCCTTCAGACACTACTACAGAGTAAGTGAAAAAACAGTGGAGGTTGGAGAATCTTCCACATTGTCATCTAGTCTACAAATGACTGGCTCTACATTTTGACAATTGTGTGTTCTCAGAATGCTCTGTGGATAATTTAGTGCTAATACATATAGTTTCAAACTCAACACAACTAAGGGAAATAAACTACTGGAGAATTGATGCATGAGATTGAAAACTAATGGAAGACCTTTTCTAGTACCTTTACAATAACTGCAAACATATGTACTTGCAGAATGTAAACCTGGTTTTTATGGGTCAGACTGCAAACTCAAATGTAATTGTCACAACCGAGGGACGTGCGACAGATTTAAAGGCTGCATCTGCTCCCTTGGATGGCATGGTCTGCAATGTGAAAAAGAAGGTAAAGCAAGGTAACACGGTAGTAAATGGCTTTTCCCAGTGTAACTGAAACAGATCTTCATGCCAGTACACCATTACCACTCCAGGCTGATATCCTTGCTTGTCAATCACATCCCAGGGGCCCAGACACTTCTGTACATCTTTATTGCAATACAGTGTTTTTAAGCCTCTGCCCCATATGCTACATTTAGCAGGCTGGTATGCTACTATTTCATATGATTTTGCTTTCATTAGAGGTAGATTTTCAAACCTCACTCCATAGGATTTGACACTGATCTTAATACCAATTACCAACAGAAGCTGCACATCCTACCTGCATGATGAGCTTTTGGATAGGCTCATGGTACTTTATCATTACCTACCTCTTATTCATCTGCATGCAATCCTATAACCATGTGTCTCCTGATCTGAAATCAATGACTGAGACACCAAGAAAACTTAAAACAGCTCTGTCTCTCTAAGGGGGCATTAAGCTTGCAAAGTTGAACAAATCTCATTCAGAATCTCTTTAGATTTAGGCAAGGTTTGCACACATATTTTACAAGATGCACTCAGCATCTTTTATTTCTGCTTGATAAATAAAGTAACAAATCCACTGTTAACTTATAAAAGCTTTCAAGTGCAAAAACAATCAGAGAAATAAGACTGTGATCCGACCATCCAAACTATACTGTGATGGTATGACTGCTCTTATAAACAGATAAAATGGAGGGCAAATGAATAATGTACATTCACTACAAAATGTGTGCGTGACTTTGCCATAGCTAGACTGTCTGTGCCTAGAATGTCAGTGAGAAAGAGAGGAGAGGAGAGGTAGGTGGAAAAGAAAGAAGAGTGGACACAGGCCTCGTTCCTTCTCACATGATATTTACACTGATGTAACAGTGCTGACTTTGGTAAGCGTGATCCTTGCGTATGCCCACATGAATGAAGAGGGAACCAGACATCTATGCTGCCTGTGCTTATTGTACACCTAAACCTGTTTTGGTGCTGCCTTTTTTGAGTTGTCTTTGAAGGCTGACATTAAAACATCGTATATCTTCTGCAGGTTCAGAAGATCTTTCACCTCAGATAGAAAACTTACTAGATCCTGTAGAACTCAATTCTGGTGTCGAGTTCAAGCCTTTTTGTATAGCAACTGGGATGCCACTTCCTAAATCTGAAGAATTTAAACTTTTGAAGCAAGATGGAACAGTCCTAAGGGTAGGCTCTTGATTAATTGCTTCCTATTATTTCTGATGTTTATAATGACATTATCTGTAGTTAATGCACACTGCGATTTTCAAGCATAATGTGAAATTTCGATACTCTGAGATACCTCATGAACACATGAGCACATATGAAACTATGGAACTGATGATTGTAGACCCCTTCTACTGATATCACTAAAATGTGAGTTCCTAAACTGTGAGAAAGTGTTATGGGAATATTCCTAAATGCCAACATTTTTTGGGCCCTGTACATCTTTTGTCATTTCAGCCTGCCCTAACTGTTACCAGTAATCGTTCTGAAGCCATGTTTACAATTAACCGAATTCAGCCACGTGACACAGGAACCTGGGTCTGCAGTGTGCAGACAGTAGCGGGGATGGCAGAGAAACCATTTCAAGTTACAGTCAAAGGTAAGAGCATGAATCTCTTCAAATGTCTTTGCTTCTGTACCTTTAACCACAGCTTTATACTCTACCATGGCGGAAATTTCTGTTCTCTGCATGGCAGGAAAATGTCTAAACAAATATCTGCAGCCAGAGTATGAGCAGAAACCCTTTATAAAGAACATACTAATTATGTGTATTGACAAAATAAGTGTGATGGTAAAGATTAGAAGAAAATCCAATGTTTTTTTTTTTTGAAAGATCTAAACTGACAGCTTTAGGGTGTAAATTCTGCCTGCTTTGTAAGAGTTTTGAAGAATCTCTCCCATTTTCCAGTAGATCTAGGAAGTTCCCAGGGTTTTACTGACATAAGGAATTAAAAGGCTGGTTTAATACTTGCATTCTTGCTCAGTTCCTCCTGTGCCACAGTATGCCCCAAGGCTGACAGACAGTGGACATAATTTTCTCATAATTGATATCAACGCTGAGCTCCACCTTGGAGACGGACCTGTTGTGTCAACAAAACTCCTGTACAAGCCAGCAAAACGTTATCAGTCCTGGATGTCTGTGGAAGGTAAGAGGACATTCTTTCATTCCCTTAAATGCAAACTTCAGCTGCATGCTGAAACATAATGTGGTGTCTGCTCTTGACTAGGCTCAAAAGACTCTACAACACATAAGTTAAATCCTTTATGACTGGATGTCTGACTTTGTATATCACTATGTATAATGTTAATGTGGTACACTAACAGTAGTCAAAAGTTTATATTCCATTTTCAGTAACCAAAGGGTCCTTCCCTAACCCCTCCTTCCCTAAGATAAACAGTACTCAGTGCTGGGCCCAGCTGTTGAAAACTCCCAAGTAAATAGCAGGTTTTCAAAAGCATGGAGCAGTATGGAGATGTAGTGGAGCATCTACGTTCTTCCTTCATGTCTATTGTGCCCTCTGGTGAGAAAAATATCTTACCTAAATATTAATCAGGAATGGTATGGACAAATGAAGCCTGATTATAAGTTAGATGACCTCTTCCAGTCCTGTTTTAACGTTTTATGCAAGGCCTAAAATATTACGGGAAACATTACAGGAACTTTAACAAGTAACAAACAAATGTTGTTACTAATTCAGGATAACCCTAGATCTGCATACACAATGCGCACTGCCTAAGCACACTTGTTCTGTTGTGAAGGAAGGGCAGATGAAAACATCCTCTGGGTTGGGTTGGAGGTCAACTTAAAAATAGGTATGTTCTACTTCTAGTATATCTTGGTGAACCAGGAACAAAAAAAGAGCCTGAGTATCCTACCTTCCATGGTTAGTGGTTCAGGAATTTTCCAAACCTTTTCTTCCTTAACATTTTTCAGCATGAGCCATGGCTTTACTTTCTCCTTTTGTCAGTAAAAGGCACAACAAAAAGACTTGACAATCTGGAACCAAAAACAGAATACCAGTTCTGTGTTCAGCTGAGTCGGCAAGGGGAAGGTGGGGAAGGCCATCCTGGACCACAGGCTAGCTTCACAACAGCTGCGCTTGGTAAGTTGTCATCTTGGCTTTTCACAAAAGGGTTGTTTCAGGTGTTTTTCTGTGTGGTCTGTTCCCTGGTATCTGCCAGAGGACTTTCATTTGAGCAAAGGCAGCTGCATATGAAAACTCTGTAGAGTCTTTCAAAATAATCTCTGGGGAAAAAAAAAAAAAACCAAAAAAAAAAACCAAACCAAAAAAACCAAAACAAAACAAAAAAAAAAAAAAAAAAACAAAAAAAAAAAAAAAAAAAAAAACAAAACAAAACCACAAACCAAAACAACCAGATGTGAAGAAAAGTAGAAAAAGGCAGAGCTATTATTTTCCCTGATTTAGAGATGGTAGATCTGGGAAAGGAAAATTTAAATATTTTGGCTGGCTATGCAGCAAAGTTGGAGATACAAATCACTTCTTTTGCATGCCACTTCTTCCTCTTAATACCAGATCAGTCCTTACTATGTGTATGAGACTAGCTTACTTTAAAAATGAAGATGCCTGAACAAGTAGAGAAGCTTTTAGTCCACTGAGGTTACAGCCCGAACTGAATACAGACATACAAATAAGTGAGAATTGCACCAGGAACTATCTAACAAGAGAGCAAAAAAGCTGTTTTCTCATGTCTAAAAAGTGCATCTGCAACACCAGCTCAGTGAACAAACCTTTTTGTTGACACAACAGCCATTGATAAGATACTTTGGGACTATCATCACCTCTTAGGTGTAACTTATACCAAATTGGGTGGGGTGGTGGAGAGAATTACCCTTTGTCACCCTAAACTAGGGCAAGTGGTTGGGAATAACCAGTACCCTTATTTTAGCTTGTATACCAGACGTGAAATGTTGTTCCCTGTCTTACTGTGGCTTTTCCAAGGTCTTCCTCCACCAGAAGGTCTCACTCTCTTTCCAAAAAGTATGACATCACTGAATTTGTCATGGCATCCTTTAACGCTGAGGACAGAGGATGACATTCGTGTGGAAGTGGAAAGGAAGAGTGTGAATGACAATGGTGATGAGAGCAGCGTTATTACTCAAGTGCCAGGAAATATGTCCACCCTGATCATTAAAGATCTTGAGCCTAGACAGCAATACATGTGCAGGGTACGGGTGAACACGAGGTCCCAAGGAGAATGGAGCAACTATCTTTATGCATGGACGTTCAGTGACAGTAAGTAGCCAATCCACATCCTTCTGTTTAATTCTTCCTCTTTCCCCCCAGGTTGACTGTCACTTAATGACTACGTTAAATGTAATCCTTTGTTCTGGTAACACTCAGTTCTCAACGATCATTTGTGGTTGTTATTACTATGATTATGAAGACAGATCAATGTCCAAAGAAATTATATGTTGGAAGTTATTAGGAATTAATAATGAATTAAAAAAAACAAACGGGAAAAAGAAATTAAAAGCTTGGGAATCAACACCTTTCTTTCAGTGTTATTCACGTTTCTGACATGTAGCATTTTCTTCCTCCTCATAATGATGAATCCACAGCATTTACTACTTCAAGCTCTTTTGTTACTCCAAAAACCCACTCAGACCCTGCAATTCAGCTATGTCAATACAGAAATAGTCAGCAGTGAAAGAAGAGAAGATGTGATGCAAGGTAAAACACCTGTCAGCAAAGAGTAGTTAAGTGTGCTACACTGAAGACCAGTGACTACCCTTGAATTCCCTGTGTGTAGTGTCTTTTCATAAAACTACAAGCTTAGTAGCCATGGGTGTGTCCACAAGTCTAACATTCACCCCGGCTGGTGGTTTTCTGATGAAATGTTGGTATCAATTTCCCATTCTTCTAACAGCCTTTATCCTGGCAGGGAGTTGCTCCATGAAGCAGTGAAAGTACAGAACCTGGGAATCACATGGGAAAGATGATTCTGTATAGAAGGAAATTAACCCTTTCTGCATTAATCTGAAAGCAGTGATGTTGTCCTTGCATACAGCTCAGAGAATTCGTATCATCATCCAAGGACAGGATTATACTGAATACCACTCCAACCTCTGCTGGAAGTATGGAGTATTGCAATATGAGTGACAGCACATCAAGTTAATAAAATTATTGCATTTGGTTACCATAGCTTGTCAACAAAATTCTGCTTCTGTTTAGGACAGCAAAAGCACTGAGGAAAGTGTTTGGTTCACTGCAGGAAAGAAAAAGAGGTGGATGTACGCTCCAATGTTTTGTGTGTGTTTGTGTTTGTTCTCAGGAATCCCTCCTGCACCATACAACATCAGGTTTTCTAACACCACAGACACATCCTCAGTCATCTCTTGGACAACTGCTGAGGGTCATTCCATCTCCTCCATCATCATCAGCTACAAAATTTATGGCAAGGCTGAGTACAACCACATCGATATTATCATAAAGAACACCAGCATTACTCAGTACCATCTCAAGGGCCTTGAACCAAACACTGTGTACCAGGTTCAGATTAATGCTCAGAACAACATTGGTTTGAGCAACCCAAACACATCTTTTGAGCTGAAGACTCTTCCAGAAACTAAAGGTTGGTTATTCCAGCATGCTGGACTTACACTAGCGAGGGCCAGTAATATAAACTAGTTAGTTAAGGCAAAGTCATAATATTATTTTTTTTTTAATATTAGTTTTCTTTTGCACTTAATTTTGACACACAACATAGCATCACTGAAATTTGATTCTCAGTTCATTGTATGGCATTGGTGAAGTGACAACATGCAAAAATTGTGTGTATCCACTAGGAAGAGCCCAACAGCTCATAAATTAAAGGAGCTGCATATAATAGGACTGTTAGGTCACTGAATGTGATCTCAGCTCAGCTCTACCTGAATTCAGTGGGATCTGCAGGTGCTCATACATCTGAAAATCAGAGCATTCAATGTCTGTGACATTTCTGGGAAACAAATGGATGTATCTCTATGTCTTTATACAGTTTACAAGACAGGAATATTTAGCTATAAACTGTTCATGGCTTTTTCAGAGTTTGCTGAAAATAATTATGAACTCTTTATGTGCTTCCTCAACAGCTCCATATGAATCAAAAGGAGGCAAAATGCTGCTTATTGCTATCCTTGGCTCTGCAGGAATGACCTGTGTAACAATTCTCCTGGCCTTTCTCATCATGCTGCAGTTAAAGCGAGCCAACTTCCAGCGACGAATGGCTCAGGCTTTCCAAAATGTGGTGGTGGGTTTCCAGCTTACTTGTGCCAGTTTGCTTATTAATTCTGGCTGCATCTTTTCATTTTTTTTCCAATTCCTTTTCCTTGGCCTTTCCAAATACCGTCTTGTCTTCATGTGCGCAATTAGTACTGTTGCTGAAAAGCTTCTCTGCTAATGACCCTGGAGCTAAAGCAATCCTAGCTGTAGGCTATGAGTTAGAAAACCTTGTTTGAAAAAAGTTGCACACTATTTATCCTTCTCTTTTTTCTGCCTTGTCGCACCTGTGCATGACAAGTACTGAGCTAGACAGAACGGAAGAGCCTATTCTCCCTCTATGAAGTTGTGCCCAATTTTGAAAACTACAGTATTTTTTAACATGGCTTTTGAGCATCAGTAACTGCTCTGTCATGGCTTTTCAACTTGGGGATGGTGCACTAGGGATCAGTTAATGACAACATCATAGTTCTGACTGTGAGGAAATTGCTGAAGATTGTAACATTACATGTATGTATATATATATATACACACATGTATACACATGTACACACACGTATATATTTGTATCCTGCTGTGGTTTCTTTATCACTCTGCTTTCTGGTGCTGTTCTCTGACTTGAGGGGAATCTATGAAGCAGAATGAAGCTGGGCTGAAGATCTCCTCCATATAGCTCTGCATAGGTTGTTTCATAAACAGGGGGCCAGGGGGTTCATCCAGAAAGATGATCGGTTTCCATGCCACACAGAATAGCTCCTGCTCCTTGTCCTGAAACTTTTCCCACATAAGTATTTCATGGGAATGTGTAATTGAAGAAGGGATGTCTCCTCAGTTATGGAGGAAGACTGTTTCCTCTCCTTTTGTTTCCTTGCTTCTTCTTTCCTCAGTCTTCATACTGAGCCTGATCAGCACACGATTTAGTCAAGCCTAATACGAGATAAATCTCAAACCTGAGACTTAAAACTGAGCAGTTTTACCAAATGATTTTTGCCCATCTCTTTCATCTTCAAGATGATTATAAAATTGTTCAGGAGCCCTAGGTCTACAAAAGTACTTATGCATAAATTAGGAGCCTGATTAATTTTGTGGATCTGGGCAGCAGTGTTTGACACTGTTAGTGTCTAAAGCAAGTGTAATTGTCTACTATACTCACTCTTGCATAAGTGAGAGATGGATCAGGCTCTGTGTGTGTGTGTGTACATAGTGAGCACACATGTATGCCAGGGGTGTAATCAGAGCATTGCTCAGTAAGGTAGGAATCACAGTTAATGTCATTTGCTTAACTCTGTTGCAGAGGGAAGAGCCAGCTGTACAGTTTAACTCAGGTACACTCACCCTGAGCAGGAAAGCCAAAAACAGCCCAGATCCCACTATTTATCCAGTTCTTGAGTGGAATGACATAAAATTTCAAGATGTGATTGGGGAAGGTAACTTTGGGCAAGTCCTGAAAGCACGCATTAAGAAAGATGGCTTACGCATGGATGCTGCGATTAAAAGGATGAAAGGTAGTAAAGATTGGAGACTGACACTAAAGATTTTTTTTTGGTTGATTGTTCCAAGTATTTCTCTGTCATAAGAAATGCTTACTAGCCCTCTCCTAAAGCTAAAATAAATATTCAAAGTTACTGGTGAAACTGTATCAGCTGTCACCAAGATTTGTGCCCTGACAAAGACTGTATTTCTGCATGGTCAAGTTGGTATATATCTCTCTTTAATTGTTAATATCATTAACTATTATTTATTTTTCAATTCATAGGTCAGTATGAACTACATGTGTGAATTCACCTACAAAGTGGAAGCCATTAAACCATGCATTTAATAGAGAGAGGAGTGCAGAGCTAGCCTTGGGGCAAAGCATTTTCTCATCTTGTTTTACCTTTGCCACTCAGGGACTACTGTATCTATGCATCTATATATATATATAGTATGAGGATCACTCATCTTTGCAGTCATTGGGCATGACTGCCACATCCCAGAAAGAACAGTATATAGCATACTGCAAGAATGTGTATATTTTCTTGCAATTCACTAGATCATTTTCTAGGCAAATTGGGAAACACTCAAATATGAAGATAATTTTTAAAAGAGTCAAGGTCTGCATGCTGGCAGAAATAATCAATAATACATATATGGAAAGATTTTTAATCAACAAGTTTTCATATGATCTGCTACAACATTTTACATTCTCAAATAATAAGTGATGTGGTACATTAAGATGCTTTTTTTCTCTGCAGATGGCTGCTACAGACATTAGGTTCTCTCTTTTTTTTTCTTTGATTGAAAATTCTACTTTTTTTCAGTAAATACTAATGCATCTTAGAATTTTTTTCTTTCTATTGGGACTGAAGCAGTAGTGTCGCAGGCAGCCCAGAGTCCTCATAATTAACAACAATATGGTCACAAATTCAGTTCAAAGGAAAACGTAAATGCATGCTTATCTGATTTTCAGAGTATGCCTCAAAAGATGATCACAGAGACTTTGCTGGAGAACTTGAAGTTCTTTGTAAACTTGGTCATCATCCCAACATCATAAATCTTTTGGGAGCATGTGAACATCGTGGTAAGATACTCTTAAATATATTTACTTTAAAAATAAATTTAAAAAAAAATAGTATAGCCCATATGGTCCGTAGAAACACTAGCTTTTAAGCAGGTCTGTCTGCAACATATATTAAAAAAACAAATAAACTTGGGTTTAGATCTACAAGCCCTCATTAATCCTTCAGAAATTATATTCATCAATAGCTCTAAGTTCTCCTCTGCACTTAGGAATTATGCTGCTCAATATTTCCCCTTCAGTCTGTTTTATGTTTATTTTTTTTTCACTCAAAGCAATCCAGGTGTCCAAATACTATTACTGACCATCTTCTACTTGGTGATATGCTCACTATCTGACGTTTCTTTAGGATATCTTTATCTTGCTATTGAATATGCCCCCCACGGAAATTTACTGGACTTCCTTCGGAAAAGCCGAGTGCTAGAGACAGACCCAGCATTTGCTATTGCCAACAGTACTGCATCTACACTTTCCTCTCAGCAACTTCTGCATTTTGCAGCAGACGTTGCCAGAGGGATGGACTACTTGAGCCAGAAACAGGTCAGTCTTCAACTCTACCCACTGAAAGCACAGCAATTCATTTTTCAGGGACTATGCTTTTTAATGAAATCAAAATAAGATTTTAATTTTAGCACCTATAGCACCAATTGGAAGAGGTTTTTTTGTTGTGTTCAAATACTATGTCACAGGGAATCAAGGAAGGGGCATTAAAACTTACAAAAAACATGGTAACTAGCTGCTTTAATCTTCAGCTAGAGTTCAAAATGCTCTTGGGTACTGATACACCAAACCATTTGTTTTGGGTTTTGTTCTTGTTTGGAATGTTTGCAATTTTTAATATAGCACTAAAATAATACATATAAAGCTCATAGATACCGTGGTGATTTCCTTATTTTTATTTTATTTTTTAAATTTTAGTTTATTCATAGAGATTTGGCAGCAAGAAACATCTTGGTTGGAGAAAATTATGTTGCAAAAATAGCTGACTTCGGCTTATCAAGAGGTCAAGAAGTTTATGTTAAGAAGACCATGGTAAGGATCAAACCAAAATTATATAGTCTGCTTTCCTCTTTTTTTGTTTTCTTGTTTCTTTGTGTTTTCATATGAACAAAAATTCAAACTAATGGGCACTACAGAACTGATTATTTAAATGTTATGTATTAACATGTAAATATTTATACTGTTTATTAATATACATGCATTACTTGTAAATCAATTCTATACCATATTTATAATATAATATACAATGTAGTTGGAAATTATTTGTAAGACTTATAGATAGCAGTAAAATAACTATTTTCGCAGCCAGTTATTAGATTTAGTAAAAATGTGCTACAAAAAAGCATGTATTTAACATATGAAGAGGATTAGAGCATGTGGGTGGATCTGCACAGCTATGACAATAATATCTTTGCTCCAGAATTTGTCCAGCTGAGGCAAGCTGGTCTAATTCTATTGAATGAGGTGAAAGTTAGCAAGATGGTAATCAGACGCATGTCAGGATCTGTGAGTTGAAAAAACAGATGTCCAGAGCTAATTGTTTAAAAGGTCTGAAAGAGCAATATGTGTAATAAGCATCATATAGTCATAGACCAGGAACAACACTGAGTGGTCAAGGGAACAGGAATGGTTAGAGGCATCATAAGACATCATTCAGGAATTATTTTAATTTTCTCTTGATGGTGGTTGGATAAACTTTGTATTAACTTTAGTGTGAACTGTCCCTTTGGGAAGTAGATGTACAACTTAAATAAGTTTATTTACTTGATAAAGCTTACTCGCATAAAGTCTGTTTTCATTAAGGTAACACTCAGAATAATTGTTGGCATATAAATTGAAATATTGTTATTCCAACCACCAACAAATGTACTTTCATGAAAAAATTTCCAGGGGCGGCTTCCAGTGCGATGGATGGCAATTGAATCTTTGAATTACAGTGTTTACACCACAAATAGTGATGTGTAAGTATTTTTTCAAGTGTTTTATTTTTGATAAAGAAATATTTTCAATATCAACACAAGTTTGACAGCTAAGAAGAGACATTCACTCTTAACTCAAAAAATGCAGTAGTGGTTTCAGCACAAGTGAGCAATAGAAGCAAAAAGAAAACCCACAACAAAAAAATTACTGTTATTTCATCATCAGTGTCTGAACAAGTTCTGTGTTCACAAGCTAATTGGATTTGGGCCACTACTTCAATTCTATTTTTCATTTGAAATTAGAAACCTGATGAATTATTGGGAGACCCAGAACTCCTCAGTATTTTAGTCAGGAAATTGACAGTGATATTTGTCAAAGCAATTCTGTATTAGCATGATTTGCTGAGATCTCACAGTCTAGCAAAGGAGTCTGGTTGATGGACTCAGAGTGAATTAGGTTTTACTAAAAATTTCACTCCTGCTTTCTGATTCCATGAAGCCTATCATTATACAACAGTTAATAAAAACAAAATATAAAAGAATGACTTACACACTTCTCTGCATTCTCTAAATACTAGCAAAATTATCTACCATTTTAAAGTATGAAATTTTGTTACAATCTTGTTGCATTTTTGTTGCACTCCATAATATCCCTCTGTTGCAGATGGTCATATGGTGTCCTATTATGGGAAATTGTTAGTTTAGGTAAGTATCTGAATTTTGTACTGCACAAATAAACCAACCTGAGCCAAGCCAGTTCCATTCACTTGGTCTATAAAGATATAGTGCTTTGCAACATTTTTTTTTTCCTGTTTCTTTCTACTAAATTTTATTTGGATTCAGTATGCTTGGAAATGCAATCGTCGCATTTTCAATTCAGATACCACTCTAAATGAGAAAAATATAATGACCATGTTTCCATTGAACTATAAAACCTAGGCTAAATCTAAACATAAAATCCAACATGGCACATGATATATAGCCCTCAGCTTGTACGTTTTGAGTGTGATGGGTGGGTTTTCACCAGTCTTACTGAGTCTTAAATCAGGACTTGTATTTTAATGACTTGGGGGGATGGGGGGGGAAGATGATAAGCATCTTCTACTCCAAGTATTCTTGAGGAAAACTTTTGAACATTAATCTTCAAATAAAATTTAGAGTTCATTTCTGCACACACCTCTATTCATCACATATGTGATACAACCTCAAGCCATTCAGAGTTACTACATTACACAGCCTTTATGATTTGCCTTGGAGTGCACCCCATGGTCTGCTGGACAAGAGATGTGTACTGACAGAGGCGCATATTGCCTACTGGGCTAATCATGAACTGTTGCTTTCTCACTTGTTCCCAGTTTTCCTTACTAAATGAGTTTACATTAAGTATGGATGGAAACTAACACACTACAGTGTGGAAAAATCAAGAGTCTTAAGCAACCAAACAGTTGCAAAAAGGGGCAAAACCCGCTTGACAGTAATAGCTCCATGAGTCCATACTGGATCTCATTAATACCACGCTAATAAAGGAATGACCTGGCTATTGCCATCAAGGGTATTGCAAAATCAGTTCAAATACAATTAGATGTGGGCCCTCAGAGTTGAAGAGAAATTTAGGGCGGGCCCACAGTTGATAAAAGTTTATGCTTTTATTTTTTTCTTCAATACTGTGCATTAAGCAGTATAGAAATATTAACCACAAAAAATGTAGCTGCAAAATATTCCCTAACAGTGGAGTAATTTAAGTGTTACTAAATCAGTCATTCTTTTTCATTTCTGCTACAAAATTAAACTTTACTTTATTAAAAAGATCTTGTATTCATGATAATGGTTAAACTCTTCTTTAGGTGGAACGCCATATTGTGGAATGACATGTGCAGAACTCTACGAAAAACTGCCTCAAGGGTACAGACTGGAAAAGCCTCTCAACTGTGATGATGAAGTGTAAGTAAGTGCCTCAGCAAAAACAACCAAAACAGAATAATCAACATCTGCTGTAAGAAATACATTATATCTACAAGAAATTAATAAAATAAACATTGTTTCAGGAAAACATAAAAAATACATTTAAAAAAAAAATTTAAAAGGGTCCACAAGTGGAAATAATTACTTAAGTCCATTTGTACTAAGCATGCAGTTTCTTTTCCCATAAGCCCTTTCCCAGGCTTTCTGCTCTTGCCAGATATCCTTCTCTTTACAAAACATGTCTGGGCGTTAGCTCAAAGACAGCTTATTGATTATTCCAGAGAAAAAAGAAAATTCTTTTCAGACAGCAACCAGCTGTGGAAAATGTAACTCCAGCTATGTATACATCCATTTTCATTTGAAAAAATGGAATGTGCAAAATCTTCCAATAAACATGAATTTGTAGCTTTAACCTATGTATCTAAACTATCACATGCTGGTGTTTGAATTTTAAAGGTATGACCTAATGAGACAGTGCTGGAGAGAGAAACCGTATGAAAGACCATCATTTGCTCAGATACTGGTGTCACTGAACAGGATGTTAGAAGAAAGGAAGGTAAGAATGAATCCCTAGAAAATAATCAGGCCATGAATAATTTCAGTATCATTTAGGATTCTTGAGGTAATGCACCTTACATCACACTCTTTCTGTTTATTTCATTCCCAGACCTATGTCAACACTACCTTATATGAGAAGTTTACTTATGCAGGCATTGATTGCTCCGCTGAAGAAGCTGCTTAAGACAGATGAAATCTTCGTTCATCAGTGATGTATTGAAGAAAACCAAAACACAGTCTGCTGGAGCCCAAAATGTGATGTGCTGTGTAGAACTGTGTATAGCTCTAACTGTATATAATACAGTAATACTGTTTTACTACAGATATGTATGTGTATATCACACAGTAACCTCTGCCTCCACAGGCTGTAGAAGTGTATATACTGTTCAGACTAGGAATAGACTGAAGTCGTGAAATCTGCTGTTCATATGCAGGGGTTTCATTTTTCCTAGTCGTGTAGATATAGTGTATACATTCATATGATAATGCATTAGGTAATGCCATCTTAGATATATTAGATCATTTCTAAGAGCTACTGATAGGAGAGTGGAAAATGGGTATATTATAGCAGTATTTCATAGACATTTCACTGTGATTCAAACAAAAATGTTGCCAATCCATTATGCTCACCGAGGATAATTATTAAGACCCCTATTTGTATGCAAAAGTGAGCTAGCAGAAATAATATGTTCAAAAATTGTATTGACACTTGTAAGATATAAGGCATGCTATTGCTTTTTCATTGTCCAGTTCAACAGTCAGTGTTTGCCTATATGCAAAATATGCATATGTTTTGAAGTGTTTAATGCTATCAGAGGCAGCCATACAGCAATTATCAAGTAGTATAGGACTGAGGAACATACTACATACTGTAAAATAAGTTTTTACAATTAGCCTGGATATACATGAGGCTCACTGAACTTGTATTTCATTTAATAATTTCACTGCATAATTATAAATTACTACCTATTATATACAAGCAAGGTTTACTTACTTTTGCTTATTTTATCCCTTATGCAGTTGGTAGTGTGGTATGGCCTCCTAAAATTACTGTACTGAAATGCTTCAAAACAATGATATTTGGCCTGCCAGAAAGATCTTCTAGTCCTTAGGTTAGACAGAGGCAGGATTAGCCTGAGCTTCTGGTATCAACTCAACCATGTGGGACCCTGTGGACTGACCCTATTCAAAATTCACATATTAGGCAACCTCATGCTTTGCAGATATGTTCCCCTCATACCCCTATGACTCACCAGCTCGCAACTGACCTTCACACCACAGCACCTTTCTAACTGGGCAGGTGAGATCACCCACCCCAGACCTGGAGGAAGATACTAGAGAGAAAGAGGAAAAAGTTTCCCCTTCTGATACTTTATGGCTGGGGTACTCAGCTGGTTGGTTACAAGGCAAGGATATCACACCAGAATATAGAACAACATTACTGGCACACGCCAGGCCGACTCAAACAGGAGAAGCACCAAGAACAAAAAGGGATTGAATCAACAAGCAAGGGTGCTGAGATCACTTGTGTGGTCTTGAGATAGCCAGAAATTGCACTGTAAGTACAAGTGCTACAGTCTGAATTTACAAAGAGCGCACAGATTCATTGAACCAAGGAACAACTCCAAAATTGAAAAGAAAACCAAATTCCACTATATTTTTCATAAAAGTCTGCTTGATGAGGCACTTTTGAAGCATGGGCATTGCATTTTGCAGTCCATACAGGTTCCTATATGTTAGTGAGGCGAACTGGAGAGAAACAGACCTCCATGGGTGTATTCTAGGCTGCCAGGCAAAGCTAGATAACTTCTGCTGAAACTGCTCCACTTCCTGTACGGATTTTTTCATGGGTCCAAAACAGCTCATTGTCTCACACATCTCTAACAAGCAGACTCAACTAACTATTCTGCTACTTGATGTGAACCCTTGTTTCTCTGGCAAACTTTTACTTGGGCCAAAATGCCACATAAGGAAAGAATTAGGCATTCATCAACCCAATCAGTCGTTATACTGTCTGCATTTTAAGTGCTCAGGTCTCACTAGAAATTTAGCTGAAGAGCATTTAAGTGTCTTTATAAATGTTCTTCATATCTTCATTTAACACTGTGGTATGCATAAGCTTTCTAATCTGCTGTAATTAAATTTATTTTTTTTACTTGTCATTTAAAAAAATATACAAACGAAAACTGTAACTCCAATACATAGCTTGAGATGTCTCTGTTGTCTCTACATCACACAACTACAGCTATTAAAACCACCCACTGTTTCTGCCAGAGTCTCAGATAGACAGATTACTTCTGTACTCACAACATGCACTGGGTATCCCAGGTTAAATAGCTAGAATTTACTGTCTGTTCTACAGTGTTGGAAAGCCCAAATTATGGCAGTAGATAGCATATAAAGGTTTTCAGTTTAACCATTAGCAGGTTGTATGTTCTGCTTTCCACAGTACAATAGATCAGATTCCATGTCCTCTCCTTCCCAAGAGTCTCCTGTTTGTTTCTTTGCTGCCAAGCACATAACACTACCAACACCAACAGTTTTCCATTATTCCAAATACCCTACATCTTAACATTATGTACCTCCACCTATTTATACCTGCTAACATCTGTGCACAAGCTTAGAGTAAGATCATCTATTCCCCAGGGTTTTTGATATCACAGCATTAGTTTTTCCATATTCTCTCACATACAGTTATCAAGCTCATACTCAGTACAAGTTCTTGGCTGGGAAAGAAAAGCATTTCAGACAAGGGGAGTTGGCCATGCGGTGCAGAACAGCTGCTTACAGTGAAGTGTTATCTATTGTTGAAAAAGAAATTATCAGGCACCTGATCAGAGAAAGTGGAGCATTTAAGACCAAAAAGGCAGACGAAGAGCCTCCACATAACTTATCTCCCCAAGCTTTCTCCCTCATCATCCTCAAAGTCCATTTAGTGCAACAGCTCTGATTGTTCAACAGTTTGAATGCAGTCAAAACAAAAAGTCCTTAATATGCCCAAGCAAAACTAAAAAGCTACAGAACAATACAGTTGGAACCAAGCAAAACCAAAGCAAAAACAACAGTTGGAACAAAGCAGGCTAAACTGTTCCAGGCTATACATCAAAATCCTCAAATCAAAAGTGATGTAATGTTTCTTCATACTACTTCAAAGCTCTTTCACCTATTCACTTAATAGCATAATACATGACACAGGTGGTGATATTCCACAGTAGGTGGTGATAGTTTTAGCAAGTCCCTCTAAACTGTGGAGGTCCAATCAAACCACACTAGTCTCTCCGATCTCCAAAACATAAGCTAAACTTCCAGCTCCTGAGAATGCTGGGTCATGTTTTGCAGTAGCTAAGTCTATATCATAAATATATGTGGTAAAGAGGAAAGTATGCTTATGGTAGCCAGCAGCAAAGAAATGACAGTGATACAACTCTGAGATGAGTCACTGTTCCAATTATTAATTGCACCTATATTTATACCACCTTTCAGTTTTGGTGAAATTTCATCTCTTCCAGCATCGGAAGACTTTTGTTTTGCTATTTTTTTTTTTTACAAAAAAAGTTAGTATCTATAATTAATTTACTTACTGTGCACGGTATTTTAGCGATTCAGTTTTAATAATTCAATAGTCAACTACAAGAAGTTATGAAGAAAAGTCAGATGGAGGTTCCTTAGATGGTCTATAGAGCTTCAGAATTACCAGCTTGGTCACTGCTAAAAGCTTGTTGGATGACTAACACAGGCTTCTCTGCTAAGTAGAATAAGTTCTAGAAAGTAGATATTAATCTCTTTCCTTAGATTTACTCAAAGACAAATAAAGGCAATCTTCACTAAAAAGACCTAGTTTCAAAGCTGGCAGCATCCACAAGCAAGCCTATCCCCTTTGTAAAGAGCAAGCCAAAGCCCCTGCTCTAAGCTGCAGTACAGCCTGGATTCAAGATTGTTCTATTTATATATTAAGTACTATTACCTACTATTGGCTGAAGGAAAATGAAAACTGCCTTTTTTTTGTGACATTCTGAGCAGCAGATGCAGAACAATACATACACAACGTTATTTCTAATCACAGCTACTGCCTGTCAGTATCTCACAGAACAGGACACAACCCCTAAGTACTTCAATGCACAAGAAGCAGCTACAGTTTTTTAGCCTTCAGTACAGATTTAGTCATGCAGTGTACTCATTCTTCAGGGCACATCTACGGGACCTGTGAGATTACTACTGATCTACTCTTACAGGATCCTCAGTCAAGACCATTTTTCCTCACCACTCTGTTTTCTTTGACTAATCACTGCAAAGTATAACTTCAGCTCTGAGCTAGTGTTGCACAAAAAGTGTGGTCAATTCTTACATTTTCTTCTGTTTCCTTCACACAAAAATAAGTTGGAACAGGCTGCAAAATCCTCTCTGAAGGTAGCAGACACTGAATCCAATCTTAAACGGGAGACACGTAATTGTATCTTGGAGTATAGGCCAATTCTATTGGAAGCAATAAACAGTTATTTCTTGAAATACTCTACTTATTGGGAACACTTATAAATCAAAGCTTATTGCTTTTACAGTTGAAAAGTTTCCTACAAGCTCAACTTATTTAAAAGAAATCAGATGATTCTGCTCCAGAAGAGGTTATATTTCTACCATTATGCCTTTTTGTGTCCATTAATAAATTAAACATGACTAAGTTTGTTTTCTCTCTCTCTAAAAGCAGATGGAGAGAGAGAGAGAAGCAGGAAGGGGAAGGGAAAAAGAAAACAATAATCTTAAATTTCTGCTGTGTGATTAAGTTTTATTTCAGAGTCTGAACAAGGTGAAACCAAAAGTTACATCCAGAACTTTAAACCAAAATTACTTTCACTTACTGTGAATGATAGTTTTCAGCTACACAGAGTAGTAAGGATAATTACAGAAATAATACTTAGCAGAACAGAAAAAAAATGCAAGCATTTACTCTGAACATTTTACTTGCATTTTATGCATTTGCTTTTTCTCCTTCTTGTACCTCTTAAGCTTCAGAAGTAGAAGGTACTACTACTGGAAACCAGTCTTGTTTTCCCATTAGATTTTCCCATTATCTTTTTTTTTTTTACATCAGAAAAACAATTGGTACTGAAGCATTACAGAACAGTCAGCCAAACTGAGGTTGATTTTTCCCCCCATCTTGTTCCTCCAAAGCCATAATAATCAGTGTTTTCTCCTTTTATTGTCTTCCTTGACCTTCCAAAGGATTAGATCCATACAAGCAAGTGCATCTTCCCTGGAATTATGACCACTAACTAGTGGAAAACAACAACAAAAAAATTACAAGTTTTAGATTATGTATTTTTTCATAAAAGAATTGTATCTTTGTTTATTAAACTGGACAATTGTTGAGAATATTAAGATAATACTTGGTATTCAGACAGTTTTTAGTGCAACTTCTTGCTACCAGGATGAAAGGCAATAATAACAGGCTTCTAACAGCCCAGTATCGTCTGGCAACATTCAGTTTCCCACTGCATTCTCCAGTTTCAATATCCACTGGAGCCCAGATTAGTAATCTAGAGTATCCAACATAACTGTCTTTGGAAAACAGCTTCTCCAAGTCACGTAATTTCAAATTAGAAGTTGAAAGGGTAACAGATGACAAGTTAATTTTGCAACTAGATGGTAAATCTCTACCTTGGTTAATGAAGGATAATCTACTTGTCCTAATCTACAGAAATACTCCACAAAATCTGAACAGAATGGAGTTAAAGGATTTAAGTTATATATGGTCATACATTTTTATTACATATTTAGTGAAAGCTTAGAAAGTCAACAACTTACAAGCTACATAATGGTAGCTAACTACAGAAAGTTCTGAGCACTCTCTACTGAAAGCCAAAGCTTCACCTTAAGGGTATCCTAGCACTTTTAGAATATGTAGAGAATAGATCTGCTATATTCAGCCATCATCTTCATAAACAGAAGTTTGACATAGTGTAAAATTGTTACATTGACTAATTTGAATATGTGTACCTCATCAAATCCTGTAAGAGCTGATCAAAGAATATCTAAATCCTGCATGGTTTAAGATATGTTAAACAAATATATTATTCTGAGTATAGAAGTTTTAATAAAGGTACAGATGATCTCCCAAACATGTTTGGGACAGGGGTTGGTGGTTCAGAAACCAAAAAAGTTGTGGAAAAAAATGACCATATGCAGTTCAGCATTTTCATCTGAAGGTGACAAAAGCCCCTCCCCATTCTATGTTTGAGCTAGTGCCTCAAAAAGGTGCTTCTTTGCACTACAGCACTGCATTATTACACAGATTCCACATCTACGGATTCTGCAACTGCTTTGGGCAGGGGAGTACATCACAATGTAGTAAATTGATACTAGGGAGAAAAATAATTTTCTTAGATTTAATTGAGCTATAGCATTCCCCAGAGAAGCAGAGGACTTAAGTGCTATCACAAGAAAAGATGACTCAGTAGGTAGAAGTACAAGCTTCTAGCTTTCTCTTGTAAAACCTAAATGCCAGTGATTTGAGATAATTTTTCATATGTAGCAGCCTAGACTCAGAAGCAAAGATCTTCAGACATTTACAGGCATGTAGTTGCAATTCAGATATCCACTGGCTTAAAGCAGTTCAGTATCTCCTTGAATGTGGAAGTGGTTATACTTCCCTCTCACTGAACCAATAATTTACACAGTCATGGTAGTAATCTACAACAGCATTAGTGTGTTACATGAATGCTTTTACCAGCATATTGCATAAGAGCTATCCCTGCAATATCTATTTAGATTGGACATATAAAGAGCTCTGGAAGATAACAGAGAAGATCAATAGATTTTATCTGTGGCAGAGAAGTTTACACCACTTAATAACCACTGCTATTCACGGGATCAGAAGGCAGCTGGTAGTAACCTTCAGGTTCTAGCTTTCTCCTCTCCTAAATGCACCTTAAGAAATAAAATAGAACAGCTGACAATAATCAATTAGAAACAATTTTGACATTTGCATAAGAAAACAGAGGTGATCCTCTGAGCTTCCCCTCCATCCTTACTATCTTTTGTCAGGTAAAGTTCCAATTCTCATTTGCTTTACAAGCCATGAAGTAGTATTCTGCCTTGTCATTCCACCCTTTGGCTACTGATATTTTTAACTGCTCAAAGTACAACTTGTATGAGACATGTTTTTCAAGTAGTCTGAAAAGGCTAAATTACTGAAACCATAGTCTTCTAGTTCTGTTATGTATTCTTCAGTTTTTAAGTCAAATCAAGGATATATATTGCAAGTCAAGCTACCTCAGCAGTTGCAGCTCTTGTACATTGGACACTGAAAACCCTGGAGTTGAGACTCTTTAAAATGCACTCCTACTCAAACTCCAGTTTGAGAGAGGCGGAAAAAGGCAAATAGTCAATTAAATTCAGAGCAAGTTAAATCACCACAAACCTACTGTTTTCTGATACAAAGAGTGTTTCATTCTACTAATACTTATGTTTACAATAAAAAGTAAATCCAGACTTGATGTTTATAATCTTTCTCTGGTACTAGCACAAAACTATCACAAACTAGCACGAAGCAGCAGCACAAATCAATATAAACATAGCGAGTGGAAGTAATGCATTGGGATTTTTAAATTTTTTTCTAGAAATAGAAGCTACCTAGCTCTACAGTTTAAGCTCAGTGGTGATCAACAAAGAATGATTAAATCCAAACTTAAACAGAAGAGTCTGCTAAATGCAGAGTTTTGGCTATTTGAGGTAGCCATCTTAAAGTCTGTAGAAATAACTTTTGACATTCCCCTTACCCCCCGCCACACTTCTGTGCATCAGAGAAAAATCAGTAAGAGGATGTAGAAAACTTTCAGATACAGCATCCAGCTGCTCCACTGGGTATCAAAGTACATCAAGTTTTGTTCAGTGCAACTATTTATGTATTGCCTGGGCAGTGAAGATATGTTAGAAGAATAGAATATTATTTGTTGTCCAGAAGGCTTCACTGGTAAAAGCAAATATGAATCTGCCAGTTCATTAGAACAAAATAAACTCAGTATCTAAGACCATATTAGAACAAATTATTTAGAATTACATGGTCAATGAAAAATATATGTCAAATGCAGTGCCTCCTAAGTATTACATCCACACTGTAGAACAGATTTATTAATTTGTCTTTGACAGCCAGACAAGAAATTTACTGTAATTTTACGACTGAAAACCTCAGCTGAAGAAGTCCTGTATCAGCTTGGATAAGCAACTGAATCTTGAAATAGATACTAGCATTAACACATTATCTTCAGAATTTTAAGAATGCCCTTTCTACAAGGGAAGGAAACTAGAACACTTGTGTGGTGAACACTCTGACAAACCAACCGTACTGGTGGGAAATGAGTGAGAGGATGTGTGGTGCTTAGTTGCCATCAGGGGTTAAACCATGACACCAACCATCTTACCCTTCAGGTATATCCTCTGCTTTTACTAAATTACTGAAGTAAAGACATCCAAGACAAAGCTTTAAATGACTGGAAATGTATTACCACCTTTTCAGTTTTCTGGGTTATTCCTATCTCCCATTTCATAATGCAATATATAGATTGCTTAATAAGAACTTCCACTCTTACCATCATCTTGATGAATTCTCCTGAGGTAGTCAGCCATTAGACTTCTAAGTTCTATTTTGTGCGGAAAACCTAGCCGATGAGGAAACACTACTGATGTGTCCACTACTTTATCATGAATTAGCTGGAAAAGAGCAGAGGCCACAGTAATGACTATCCATCCAGACTTACAGCTCCTTTATTTAATAAATAAATCCCAGCTAGCATCTAAACCATTTCTGTTCTAAATAATATGCCAAAACTAATCCTTGAGCTAAGTCATCTGTCCTGTGTTCCTCTATTCATTACAGAATGGCAAACAGTGGGGCAAGAACTGTGGAAAACTGCTTTGCAGTAATTTCTGTACATTGTATCGACATTCATTCATTAGTTGTAAATATACAACAAATGTAATTAATTCTGGTTTCAGACAGCCAATACCATACTGTGAAATCTGCTTTGCTTTGGTCTTTAGGATTACCTGCTAGTGCTATCTATCAAGGCTAAATTCTAATTCTTTCATTAGTAATAATCATAGAATGCTTGAGGTAAAAGACCTCTGGAAGTTATCTTGTCCAAACACGCTGCTTAAGCAGGACCACCTAGAGCTGGTCAGCTAGAAACACGTCCAGATGGCTTCTGAGCACCTCCATGGATGGAGGTTCCACCACCTCTGGACAACCTGTGCTAGTGCTTAGACACCCTCACAGTGAAAGTGTTTCCTGGTGTTCAGAGGGAAACTCCTGTGTCACAGTCTGTGCCCACAGCCTCTTGTCCTGTCACTGGGCACCACTAAAAAGAGTCTGGCTCTCTTGTTCGTACCCTCCCTTCAGGTATTTATATACGTCGATAAGAGCCTCCCTAAGAAGGTGGTTATGTTTCTTACAGAATAATGCTGCCTTTGATATTTAATAGCATAATCCATGTATTTCTGGTACCTAAGGTAATTATCTGACAGGCAGCATAATTGTTTGCAGAGATTCCAAGAGCAATACCCTAGTATTACTGGAATTATCACTGCCTTTTATGTATTTGCCAGCATGAGGTCATCAAGATCACAAAACATACAATTCTAGGTTTCTGCAAACCCAGAAATAAAGACAGTATTATTCAGTGGTGATGTATGATTGCATAGTTAGAAGTACAAAACAACAAATTAAGAAGTCCAAATGTCAGAATCTTTACCATACTGCATTTCTAAACACATCTTCCTTCTCTAAATGTAATATTATCTTTAACACAGTTATTTATCAAGCAAGTGCATTCCATTTTTTCATACATGTTGATCTGAGAAATGCAACATTCTTTTTCTTTGTAATATGAACTGGAACACAGTAAAGACAAGTAGTGACCTCTTAAAATTGGCTTCAAACAGGTTATTTTACCTTGAGAAAAAATAAGTCATTTTCTAATCTGTGTCCAATTAAAATTGTATCTGCATTGAACAAGTTTAGCAGTTTTGCCTGTACACTCTGAAGAGATGTTGTGGTTTCCCGCAGAACGTCCTTTGTTACTCCAGAGAGTCTACAGACAGATTTAGAAGATCTTCATTAACATAGACACTAAGAAACTAGGTTTACAGTGGTCATTCCTCCGGCATTTAAAGTTAACACTAGCCAGCTTTGAAGTCACACAGTGTTGAAATCAACATAGGGGATTTTTCCATTCTCTTCCTTTTCACTTAGGTAGTGTAAGATAGACTAAGATAGATGGTATTAACTTAGCTCTACCATTACAAGTGACTGAGCCTGTTTTTAAGCATGGAGCAAAGATAGGGCTCTGAGTAAACAATTACTGCTTTTGAAATAGGAACACATTATGTTGGTTTTCCTCCAACATATTTTTTACAGTGAAGCTCAAAACTTGCATTTCTTCTCAAACCAGTTGCAGGACTTCAAAGAACCAAAAGGAATTAAAAACATGTTTTCTGGTCCTCAATGTCAAAACCCAATAGGAAGACCAAACACAAGTGATCTTCATCGAATACAGCCAAATTTTGTTACACTGTACAGTCTGATAGCCTCATGCATGGCTTTTCTGTGAGACCATATTTATAGATGAAATTTGCATTTGCTTCTATCCCCTTAGGGAATTTATCAAGATCTAGGAGGCTTAACTTTTTTTTTTTTTTCCTGTATGAAGAGAAGAAAAAGAAGTCTCCAAATGTGGGAAAAAATTAAACTGAACTATGCAAAGAGAAAAATCCTTCTTAATTGAGCCTGTAAGAACAAAAGCCTCATTCCCGATTGAAAGTCTTTGATTTATATTACTAGAAACAGACATTTGAGAGGCATGTTTATTCTTATATAATTATCTACCAATTTATTAAGTCTAATCCTCAAGTTATATAGGATAATTAGCATACCTTTTGTCGCAGTCTACAACTTTACCATCTGGTTTAACAAATGAATCATACACAACCTGTCGCTTAGCATCAACCACTGTCACTCTAGTTAGTTCCATGCCATAGGTTGTGTAACACTGAAGAAAAAAGTAAATTTAACCAGCATTTACATATCAATGTCGTTTCCTTACATTATTCAAGTCGTACAGAAAGCAGAACTGGCTACCAACTCAGTAGATACAAGTAATTTTTCTCACTGCATATTCAACACTAAAGTTCTAGTCACACAGAGTGACGAGTCAGAACACCGCAGAACTCTCGGAGACATGAGTGCCAAACTACCACAGCTAGGAAATTGTTTCATAAACAGCAATATAGTTTTCTATTAACTGAACCAAACTTTAAGTTGTTCATACCGTCTCACAGTTCAGAGCATATACACCATAGTTTCCATCATGACGCGGTGATTTAATCAATGTCTTCATGAAGCCTTCCAATTTCTCTCTTCTCCCATCATGAACATGAAGCTGAAAAAATTCCATTAATATTTAAGTGCAAGTTTGCTAGATATATCTTACCCAAATTGCCAAACAATTTGTTTCTCTAACAGACTCAGGAACATATATATCTAATACTTCTTGTCAATATTTGCCACATAATTTACTAAATGCTATTAAGTAAACTTAAAAAGCTTATATGAAGTTGTTCACAGAGGGCTATGACCCAACTTTAAGTCAAAAGGACACAGAAAGCAAAACTGAGATATTGCATGCTATAAACCTTCTGAGATCGTTTTTTTTACCTTTGCAATCTGACATCCAGCAGACCCAACTATTCTCTCACAACAGCTATAGCTTTTTTCCACACCACCAGGAACTGCCGAAAAGAAAAGTTGAAAATTGAGCCATTTTTGCAGAATCTAGCAATGGCAAAAAAAAAAAAAAAATCAGTACCCACACTCCTCTCAAATTTCTTCCCCTTTTTCTACTGAGACTGCACTATGGAAAGCAGCAAATTCCACCTATAGGTCTCACCTATGCGAAGATGACAAACTGTACATCGTTCCCTCCCAAGACAAGGTTTTCATCAAAAAGCCAAACACCAGTGAATGGGAGAGAAGTTGTAGTATGCTCTGCTCTAGATGTTTCTCCCTGAGGGAAATACTTAATGTAACTTCTGATTATTTAAGGTGTCTCTCAAAAGAATACAAGGTTCACTTAGAAGTCAGTACAAGGCCACATGATGAACATTTTTCTACCTTCTTCCCACATGGTTTTCTTAACATCAGCTTTCCTGAAGTTACAGCATATTCAGAGAAAGGCCACATTCACAAAAGAGCAGTAGAATGTATCTAAGCTGAATCTTGTGTAAGATTTTATACTCTGCTCTTGTTCAGTTTTGACATGAGATGTTATAACTTTTAACAGCTTCAATGAAGATTGAATGCCAAGGATACTTACCTTTTTCTTCCAATATTCTACCAGAATGATAGTTGCATTCTTCTTTACGCATATATTCTCCTGAAGAAGTGACAGCATATACTTCACCACACCTACAGCACATTCTTTTGAAAGCTAAAAAACCAAACAAAATAGAGAATATTTCCTAGCTGGCTTGCCATTGTTAAAAAATGCTGAACTAACATATAAAAAAAGTTACAAGAACAGTAATTGCAAGAGCAGAGTATCAGTACGTAAGCAGCCTGCCAAGATTAGCCATATATATAAAAAAAACCTGAATTCCTCTACAGCACAAGAAATTCAAGTTTACTTGAAACTGCTTCAATTACTATGTTGAAACAAAAACTAGAAGAGACCTATGAAGCTTCATGGTTTAGTTATGAAAGATTGTGAATTCACTTGTAGCCCAGATACTAAATACAGAACATTGACAAAATGTATCATTTTATACACATATATTTTAGTCCGGTGAACCACTGACTGAAATTCAATTTTGTTGCAGTCTAGTAGGCACTTACCATCATTTCCAAAACGTTTTACAATCCCCTTAAATATAGCACTACCATTTATTCCAGGATTTGGTCGAGGGAAATTATTTTCTTTCAATTGTTCCTCACTCAGAAGATAACTTTTTAAAAGTCCATATAAATCACCACCTGTAAAAACTGAAAATTACAAAAACAAAACTGAAATTACAAGATGTGCCTTATACTTTACATGCAAAACCAATATGCTTGTACCTCAGAGCAATAAGAAGTGGTTAGAGGTGAAGCATTATTCAAAACAAAGACACTAAACAACAGGGATGTTAATTTATTAGCTATCCCATAAAGGCTAAGCATGTAATACTAAAGAAAACACTCTTCCCACCTGCTGCCCCCCAAGAAGTTCAACATTTTTCGCCTGAGAATAAGCCTTCAGATATAAGCATGGAATTGTGTTAGAAACCCTTGCAGTGGCTAACAGATATAGTTTGACCAAAAACAGAGCAACATTTTCATGTTGATATAAGACCATTTACAGGCTAAAGTGGAAAACTGACATCTCCCTTCCCCGTTCTTTACCTTTCTCTTCCTGTTTCTTTATGGATACAGCACCATGGAAAGACTGGCTGTTACTAAGTCCCTCTGAATATAGAAAAACATATATTTTTATTATTTCTTCTCAATTTTAGATTTCCTGTTAATATCCTAAGCAAATATTTATAAATCAAAACACGAATTTATTTCAGTGATATATTTCTACAGAAGGATTTAAATACGCAGAAATATCTTTACTAAAACTAAAGTAAATAATCCTTTCAAAACATTTCTCTGCTGCTTTAATTTATACACTTATAATCCATTTTAAAAAAAGTTTAGTTGAAAGCAAAAATACCACTATCTCTCAGCTTTTTGAGAGTATTCACACCAATACTCAGGTACATATTTTTACTGCCACAACGACTGTAAACAGATTGTTCTTCTTTCATAGCCTGTATTTAAAAAAAAAAAAAAAGACTGAGTGTTAGTGGAGTACTGTATGTTCTACAAGTACTACCATTTTAGAATCTGATATTCTGAACACAGAGGTAGATACACATGCAAGCAGTCCACTAAATCTGAATCTGAAGTGCAATAGGAGACAAAGTGAGATGGATGGGAGCCCTAGAAATAAAAATTCAGTACTTATGAAGCAAAGATCTGTGGGGGAAAATCAGTGGTCCAACTCAGAATCTAAATCTAATCCTTGTGGGAATTTGAACACTCTTAGGGTAACCATTCCTGTGGCTACAGACAGATTTTTCTGTTCCTGCTTCAAAGAAGGCATTGTTACTTTTTTAGGTCAAGAAATCTCTCCTTAATTTTCTTTCTGTAAAGTCATAAGAAACAGAAGTGAAAGAAAGGTCCAGAACCTTTTAACTATGAAGAAACACACTTGAAATAAGGAATATGTTCATTAATCTTCTGAGGGAAGAAAAATGTTTTTCATAGTTTTATTTCACTGTTTATACTGTCTGTGTAGTCAGAGCAGCTCATTTTAGGCATAAACAGTGCCTTCTAATAATCACTTCAGCTAGTACAAGTTCTAAGCAGAGGAAAAGAGAAAACTAGAAAACTGATGAAGCCGAGAAGGAGGAAGTTAAAATGAAGGTAAAAGACACATTACTTAGTGAAAATTAAAAATCAGGAATACCATGTTATGCTTCATAATACAGAGAACACACAGTAAATGGTAGAGTAATAACATCTGATGTTTTACAAGCTTTCATTCAGTGTACACAGAGTCTTATCAGGGCATCTCCATAAATTTCTTTGATTTCTGGCATGCAAGAAATTTAGATCACCTGAAGTTTACATCTGTGGATATTTGGGATACTTGTGCCTATCTGACATATCTGTTGCCTATAAGCTTGAGTAGCACTTGGTGCAGTGTAAACAGTAAATACAAGATCAAGGCTCAAAATGATCAAGAGATTTACAGGGGTCCTTCAAACATGTTTTCCTCCTGTCCCAGATAGATCTCAAAGTCACTATTACATTCCAGGAAGCCTCCAGTATTCACAGGTAGATTTTTATTTTGCATTTGCAAAAGAATTTTCCTTTCTAATACTAAAGTAACAGGTCTTTTTGAAAGCTAATGAGTAGTGCTAAATATAAATATGTTTATTTGGAGAAAACAGAAACTGATTGATAACACTAGCAAGTATAAGATCAAGCACATTTTAACTTCTCTCTACTGAAAAGTATGAAATATTTGCCCTAAAAAAAAATAAATCAAATAAAAACCCCCACCAACACATTGCACAAGATAAGACCTACTGACTTAATTCAGAAGAAAAATTGTAAAGATCTATAGAACATTACAAACCCTGGCAACGGCCTCATTCACCGTGCTAGCAGCTTTGACGCATTCTGTAAAAAACAACCCAATATATCGCTGTCTTGTCTCAAATGGTACTTTGGATCCTGATTCTGGAATGGAAGGCCTTTTCCCAGTAGAAACCTTAAAAAAAACACACAAAACCACCCCATACTAGTGTGGTCAGTATGTAACAAATAGCTCAAAGAACTAAAACCAGTTCAGATATTATTTTGCTGATCCTCAGGTAAAATAAATAAATAAAAATCAAACATTGCTAAATAGCTATCCAGGAAACTGGAGTTGCACATGACAGGGAGAGAGAAACAACTATCAGAAATATTAACTGCAGAGTTTTTCCCTGCTTGAACTAAACAAAGTAGTTTTCTGCTCAAAGCTATGTGAGGTATTAAAACTATTTTTTAACTTTTTTTTTTTTTCTTAGAAAAATATCACCAGTGGTTCAGTTATGACTTAATTCACACTCTCCATGTGGCCTTTATTTCAGGCAGTACTTTACTCAGAACAAACTACAGACTCAATGAACTAAACCGAAAAAAAAATAGAAGAATTTAGTCTCAGGAACCTATAGCCTTTGTTAAACAATGCAATGTAGAGTTCTTTCTTAACACAATATGCTTATTTTAAATAAAGCAAAGAGTTTAAAATCATCATATTAAAAAATCTGGCAGTAGATTAGGTTGACGGTGATACCATTATAGACAGAAAGGTCCAAACAGTTACAAGATTCATTCTGTGTATCAAACAAGGAGCAACATGTCTATACTACATGTATTCACTAAAGAAGATCCTTTAAGAGGAGCATTTAAATGGGTGTGCTAGTATCAAGGAGAAGGTAATTTTCACATAAAGGGAACAATGGCAATGTGTAACAGTGTCACAACCTAGTCTCACCATTATTGGAGCATGTAGTATTCCATTTAGTAAACAAGAAGGTACATACTGTACGAAGTAATCCACACTTAATATCCTAGAAAAAAATCAATAACCAAACTGACTGAAGCCATAACATTTGGCAGATTTAATAAGAAAGCAAAATCCTAATCTTATAATTTATCTGAACCTAGGAATCTTCAGTGCTTCTGCTTTTAAAAAAAGCAAGGTTAGAGTAATTTTTCTGAGAGGAAAACCTTACAATACTCTGCCACTCAAAATTACAATGCAATGTTGGCACTAACAAACCAAAATAGGGCTTCATCAGCTTTTTGACAAGTTCCTTGAAAGCTCTGAATTTATAAGGGTACTTCTCTTGAAGCCAAATAAAGCCTTTTGTCAGATACCATCTGCCACTATATATGGCAGGAAGTTTTATGGGAAAATAACCAACACACAAACATGACACTACTGAAAACAAATTAGTACCTAATTGTCCCATTACAACCACTTTGATTAACAATTTATATATCTAATTGCTTACATTTGTGTAGTTCCGGCTAGTATAACCAAGGAAAATTAAAACACAATTTGCATAGCAACATGGTTAAAGCACACAGGAAACAAAGTAATTTTTCTAAAAAGCTATACTGGTATATCACATTGCAAGGTCTACATTATAAAATACTATTTGAAATTAATTGCAGTTTTTCCACTTCTGCTTCCACTCAATATTCAAGTTCTGCACCAGTTACTTTACAGTACCTTGTATGGCATAAGACGACTGTTTACTGAAGAACTAGAAGGAACTCTACAGATCATTCCTCTTCCAACATTTCTTTCATGATGTTGATCACTTCTGTCTGCAATGGGCTGAGATTCATGCAAATTTAAAGAGGCTGAAACACACAGAAGATACAGACTGAATCTTAACTCCAATGGTAAGCTTTATTACTACATTTAGATTAATCTGGAACAGGTATTTCACCACTCCTTTGCTAGAGCAGGGTAAAATGCATGGGAGCAAACCTGGAATGTTAGAAAATGCATTAAAACTTCACTTTTGCCCATAGACTTTATGCACAGTGTTCTCCAGTATTTTTGAGATCATGTATCAGTTTGAAGATATTCGCATAAAGCAGCCACACAGGTCAAGTTAAAAGCTATTTTCAAGTTGTAACAACTATGATTTTCAAACACCTATTTACCTGTCTTCCCTGTCCCTTTCCCCTCCCCTGCAAAAAAAAGCATGACAGCAAGAAAAAGTCAGGAAAACCACCATTCTAACCTCATCTTCTAATGCAATCAGTAAATGCCTTGAAGTATTGCTTAATGCCTTAAAGTCATGAAGGCTACAGATCTCAGAAATAAAAGTGTCATGAGATTCTGGAGCCATCCTTGCAGTCATCCTGTTTAACGTTACTTGCATCAGTACCTATTACAGAGCAAGACACATTTGAACAGAATGAGATACACTAATCCATTTTACTGTTACTCAGGAAGAATGCATACACTGGCAGATAGCTACTAGGAAGTAGCATTTTATTAATTTTCTAGGTAGGTTACTTTGTAAGCATAAATTTAAAGTGACAGTAGAGAACCTAGAGGGGAAACACTGTTTCACTAGTAGCAAATGCTGAAAATTACTTCTACTCCATGATTTTTCACATATGAAAGAAAATTTAAAGGGAGAATAACATACTATTTTCAAATCACAGTATTTAACAAATTGTGCCAGCAGGTCTGAATGCTTCAGATTAGAAACCTAACAGTTGATATCAATACTAAAAGGAAAGTCAGCAGATTTTTTTTTTTATTACTCTTTCAACTCATGTATCAAAAGACTTTCAAGAAAACAAATTTTTGGGGGGGGTTTGGTTAAGACTGTACACGTTCAAAAATCTCAGTACAAAGTACTTGTCCTCGTTCCACTACAGCTACCAAGACTTAAAATATGTTTTAGGTGGATAGGGCTTCTATCTGCACAGGCCAGGTGCTTACCATCACTCAACTCAGTTAACATTCACCACAACAAAATGAACACTTTCAAGCAATGCTTAACTGAAGCAAAGTGAAGTATAGTTTGTCAAACCTACGGATCAAGCTGTCATACCCCTTGGTCCAGTGCCTTGAAATAGAGTAGTTGACAATCCAGACGCAGTTTTATTCTGTCCAGAAGTTGTATAAATACAAGCTTGTCCCCTTCCAACTGCAACTGCAGACTCCACTGCCTTCCAGAGTGTCTGCTGAGTTCCCACATCATGGCCCTGCTTCCAAGATTCTTTGAAAGGCACCATTTCTTTTTTGTTACGTACCTGATAAGGATATACACAAAACCAGAGTTAACGATCAAGCAGATCCAAATCACAGCAAGATGGTGCTAAAGTTAACAAACTCCTTAAAACTGAATTTTGCTATCAGATTCAGAGCTCAGCATGCTGCCCCTAGAAGGAAAACACCAAGCTGAAAGACCTCAGGGGTGGTGGAGGGGCCTCAAAGAATTATGCCTGTTATTAATATTGCTATATAAAGCACTGTAAAAGCAGAGACATCAACAGCCACTTTGGGTTTCCAAGTGCTGTATCTGTAATCTCATGGTACAAACCTCCACTCCAAACTGACTTTTCAATACGCATTAGCCTCAGCTGCCCTGGGCAGCAGTTTACTTTGCCTGTGTCAGGAAGCAACTAAGTACTACAATATTTGCTACAAATTTTACCAGAAGGGTTGGTGACACATTTGTTCTAATTAATTTCAAAATATTTTTATAATTACGCTACAAGACACAGCTAAACTGAAGCACAGCATGAGTCTACAGCTATTAAGTACAGATATGTTGACCTTCAGTTTATTACAAAATTATAACTCACATCAAATTTTGCTATGTGTGCAATCCTTCTCTTTCTTCCAGGAACACATACTTTGGTTTCTAATAAATTGACATCTACCTTTCCTCTATTTGCCTATTAAAAACAAGAACAGACTACTTAGCCCAACCGTTATGAAAATATAGGCTTCAGTAATATCTTCATGATCCATTTGCTCCAATGTTTCAGGCTATTCAGTCAGAAAACTCACCAGGAAAATTACAACTCCATCAGTATTAGTTATTTTACATTCAGAACAGTTAAGCCACAGTGCTTTGAAGCTGAAGCAGTGGTACACAAAGTTCATACATTTGTTTATAAGAACATGAGACTACTGTATACACAACTGCCTCTAAGACTTTGCATATTAAAGTAAAAATGGCTACTCCAAGGCAGGGAGCTATTCAGAGCAATTTTCTATTTCAGCAAACATACAGATCACCCACTATCAAACTAGATTAGAGTCATAAGTGTTCTTTATGACTTTGTCTACTAGCACTAAAAGCTCAAATATTTAACTAACACATTTTGGAAAGATAATTTGAACTTGACTATGTGGCACATCCTGGTCTCATGATCAAAAAATACCCCAAGTACTGGAAGGAAAAAAAAAAAAAAATACCTGCTTATGAGGGCCCTTTTGTGCTTCTCTTTCAAACTCATCAAAAATTCTCCGACACTCCTCTAAAGGATCACCTGAATCAGAGAGCTCTGTGTCCTCCCCACTGGGTTCTATTTTCTCAGCAGATGAACTCAGCAGAGTTATTTCACCTACTTTCTTGTTTAAGTAATAAGTTGGATGTGAGTATCTATTTTCTGGGTTATCATTACCTCTATTTCCTTCTATGCTCTGGCTTTCATTTGTATTTGTTATAGTTTCCTTATAAGGACTTTCAGTTGTAGTTTCATTTTTTGACAAGTGACCAGTACACCAGACAGACTGTGATACTCTTCTGCTGCCCACACAGTCTTCATTAGTAGCATGCTTCTGAACAAATGCTTTAACTAATGTATTGGTTTCTGCATTCCCTTGCTTCAGAATTTGCTTCTTCACAACTGCCTCAACAGAAGCAGCTGAGGATACATGTTTCTCCTCACTATAAGCAAGGGTATCTCTTTCCTCCAAAACATTTGGTATATCAGTGTTTACATCAGGCAAACAAATATTATTTGCTTTTGAAGAAACATGGGCTAGTTTTTTATACTTCAAACTTTTGGTGTTCTTCTGAAAAGTGGTATCGTCTGACTTTCCTTCCGTACACTGAAGAACGTCTGCTCTAGCATTTTCACATTGTTTTTCTGCATATATTACAGCAGGCAGTTCTTTGCCCGTGTTCCCACTTGTACAGCTCCTCCTTATTCTTGACCTTTTACTAACGGGTTGTGGTGGCACATCAATGACAAGATTACTTTCCTCATCTGAGTCGTCAAGTTTTATTGCAATTTTCACTAGATGACTGCTTCTTGACCTCTCTGTGAATACACGGCTACTCCTAAATGGAGGTATGTCTGAACTCTCATTCTGATTTTCACAAGGAACTACTTTTGTTGACTTACACTGCTGCTTAGCATTTTCATTCATTTTTGTTACAGAAGATCTAGAGATACCTGCAAGATAATTTTGTAGATTGTATTCAAGAACAGTTGCTGGACAACTATAATCAACAATGTATTTTTCTAACTAAAAAATAGCCATTATTTGCATACCAGGAAACTGAAACCATGACATGCATGTGCTAAAAAATGCACTACAGTAGTTTAATCAGGAGAAAGTATTTTTAATATAATTTTCAAGGGTTAAAGTGTTTATAAACATTTAATCGGGAAGACTGTACTGTGAGTTGCTTCTGTTTCTCAATTTCATTCCTGGCTGAATCTACTGGTATTTTAATCCCTTTGGGTTTTTGCAAATCATCTCTTTCATTAAATTAAGTCATCCTAAACTGCCATCTACAGCTTTCAGACAAGGAAAATGAAATAATCTCTTATTAATTATGCCCAAAACTACAAGTCTCAGTGTCACAAATACCCAGTAACATTTCAAGCTGGGCATATTTATAATTGTGTACAAATTTTAAGAAGCCTTAAATGTAAAATTTTCCAACTGCAGATTTAAGCAATTAACTGTTATCTTTTCAGTTTTTATAGGCTGTAGACTGCTGACCAAAACTCATCCTGACGCTTTCTCAAGGCGCTATCTCCATCCTCACACAAGTATTCTGGCAAATCACAAAATGCAGTGGTTATTTCCCTCCCAAAATTTAATTAATTGTATACAGACACTGTCATCCAAGAGATATGTTAGCATCAATAATGTATGGTAACAACAATGCTGTTTACATTGTCATTTAAAAAGCATGTCACCATTTGATTTCAATAGTGATTGTATTACTAATTACAAAACATTTCAGGGAAGTATTAGAAAGTCACATTTTGTTAGTGATGGGATCCTTCCCAGGTTACTCAAAAATACCACCACAATAAAGCAGGGTGGTACCACAAAGCCTCACTACCCTGTTGTTGTAGGTTAACCCTGCCTGGCATCTGAGCATCAGGCAGCTGCTCTCTCACTTCCCCAGTGGGATGAGGCAAGGAATCAGAAAGGTAAAACCAAGAAAAGTTGTGGGTTGAGATAAAGACAGTTTAATAGGTAAAGCAAAGCTGTGCACACAAGCAAAGCAAAATAAGGAATGAATGTACTATCTTCCATTGCCAGGCAGATGTTTAGCCACTTCCAGGAAAACAGGGCTTTGTCATGACTATTACTTCAAATGTTGTCCTTTCCTCCTCTTTTCCCCAGCCTTTACTGATAAGCACAGTGTCATATAGTTTGGAGTATCCCTTTGATTCCTTGTTCAACTGTCCCGGTCGTGTCCCTTCACAACTTCTTGCCCACCCTCAGCCTACTTGATGGCAGGGCAGTGTGAAAAACAGTGAAGTCCTTGAGGCTGCGCAAATGCTCTTCAGCAATAACTAAAACATGGATATGTTATCAACACTGGTTTGGTCAGAAATCCAAAACTCAGCACTAGAGAGCTGCAAAGTAGATTTAGCCCACCCCAGACAAAACCAGTACACCATTCTACCTCAGTGAAATACTCTGAGCCACAATGAACTAGTAACTGTTCTTATCAGAAATACAACTAATCTGAGAAAGGTACTGTTTCCCTGTTGTTGAATGGCTTAGAGACAAGGGTCCTGAGCCCACCGAGCAGTTGTACGATCAGAGCCTGTTCTAGGGGCTGATGCTGCCTCGCTGATGCTGGGCCTCACTAGGGTTTGCCTGCAGCTGCTCGCAGCTGCTGATACATGAGGAATGTCAAGGATGCTTCGGCCTTGTGTACCGTGGTGTGTCGAAAACAGGTTGAGAGGAATTGGAAATAGTGGTCTGAGAAACTTAGTGTTATGAGAAGCTTGTGCTGTTAGCTGACTGCAAGTAGGTGGGCTGTGCGAATACAACCTTTAGAGCTTAAGCCAATCAGCTAGTGACTAGTAGGCATAATAATTATCGTTGTCTGTATAAATATATGTACCCTGGACCAATAAAGACACATGTTAGTTGATGCTTTATCACCCACATTGAACCCGTCTCAGCGTGTCGTTCTTCTGCGGCTCCGCATTTCCCCACCTTTTATACAGGTGAGATACCATTTAAACTATGTAGTAATCCATGTTACAGGATTATTCTTCAACTAACTGGAGACTGAGCAAACATTCAGGGTTCAAGCTTACAAAAATTGCAGAAGCCATTTAATGACAGATGTTGGTCACTAGAAAGGAAACACACCTATGGACTCAACCTTTGACAAGTTGCATCACTCCCTGCAAAATCAGCAAGTGGAAGTCAAGAAGGGAATGACTCTACACTGGGTTTGTTGTTTTGTTTTGTTTTTTTCCTGACTGCCACAGATCTTAGCAACCATCAGATTATCCCAATACTTCTTCCAGGCCGCAGTTTCTTACGGTCAAGCACAGAAATTTTTGAGGAAAAACAAAACCAAAGAACATTACCATCTACAGTTAATTGTGAAAACCCAGGTATTTATTGTGGAAATGAAAGCTCCTGCTGCACAGAAAAAGACTACATGCAGAGTAAGAACCTGCACTGTGACAGAAGTTTTGGCACTCCTGAGCTGCAAAGGCAGAAAGTCAGTAGCATCTGCTTAAAACACACAGACACGACAGTGTAGGAGACACTTTGATGGTTCCCTTATCAAGCAACTCTTAAAACTATCAATGTAACCCACAGCAAACTATGTGGAAGAGACCAACCCAAGTTCAAGGTAATCAGAAAGTAGCTACCTGTTTTTAATAAGCTCTTCAAGTGCAGTTCAGAAGCCAGTTTCTTTTTTTAATTAGCATAGACTATTACTGCTAAATTTTGTGTTTCCTGTTTTAATGTAATTTTAATTGCCCCTCTCCTCTCCCACCCATTTGGCTTTACCGCCAACAGTTTGAACTCACTACTATCTCTGCTATTAAGATCTAGTTTACAGTTGCCTGAAAACACCTGGTCATAGGAACATGACAAACATCAAAAATGCTAGCCACAGATCTTATTATGTTTAATAAGAAAGTGAAGCACTATGGGAGAGGCATACTAAAGTTTCAGTAGAACTAACAGTTATTCACTGATGTACAAGCAGGCTCTTTGCAGATTGTTGATCCTGGAAGGAAAGCAAGTGTCTCACAAAGATTAAAAGTAATTCATATCACACCTTCTGCTCTTCATTATAAGGTCTAAAGGTCACGCACCATGAAGGAAGGTGGCATCTTCCAACCAAGAAGGCAAGAATTCATCTGCTTTTATTAGACTTTAAGCAATCCTCCTGAGTCCAGCTTCTTGAAGCCTAACTCTAGGTACAAACACCATCTTACTTACATTCTAATCCTAGTATTGTCACTGCCGTTTGTCAAGGTGGGGGAGTTTATTTTTTTTTTCCCCTCTCCCAAGAACAAGACACAGCAAGACCGTGGAGAACTCCTAATGTGTCATTTCACTTCTTCACTCTCACACATGGCGCTGCAACTCTTTACTCAACCACTTCCAAAGAGAGCAGGGACGACGCGCCACAGCCGCCCCTCAGCGCCTGCCGCCACCTCCGTCACCACCTGGACGGCGACTCCAATGCCACCCCCGCCCCCAAGAACCGCCGGGGCCCTGCTCCCTCAGCACGGCAGCGCCCCTGCCCACCTAGCCCCCGGGGCAGGCCAGGCCACCCTTCCCGCCATTCGGGCGTCTGAGGGGAAAGCGCGGGAAAGCGCGAAGGGCGCGGCGCCACCGCCTCCTCCTCCGCCCCTCGCTTCAGCCGCCCAATATGGGCCCAGACCGCACCCTCCCCCCGCCCCCGCAGGGCTCTGTGAGGGGAAGCCGTGGGGGCAGGGGGGATGGGCCCGAGGAGGGAAGGGGAAAAGGAAAGCTGGAAAAGGGAAGGGGAAAGGGAAAAGCCCTCACGGCGGGGAGCGGTCCGTGCCCGCGGTGGCGGCGGCGTGCCGCCGCTCCCCGCCGGGCGCCCGCGGCGGGAGGGGGCAGGAGCTGCCGCTCGGCCTCAGCTGAGGGGGGAACGAGCCGCCCGTCCGCCCCCGCAGCGGCTTCTGGGCGCTGTCGGCCTCGTCTGCCGCAGGCAGCTCATCGCCGGGAACCGGGCGTTTTCGCACCCCGGGCCCCCCTGGCCCGGCGCTCTGCCTCCAGCAGAAGCCAGCAGCCGGATGGCTAGGGACCGGTAAAAACAGAGCAGGACTATGGAAACCTTCCCTGGGGCTCCCCCAGGCCTCTGCAGGAGGGCTTTGCTGAGCTCCCCTGCTGAGCAGCATGCAATGACTTGTCTCGTCTACTTACTTCCTGCAGCAAAGACGACACCTGTCGCATATTTTTAACCTGGCTCCCATGGGTTTCATCTGATGCTCCGTGCTTTTATTACCAGAATGGGTAGTCAGCTACTATCTTTCTGTGGCAGGTGATATTTGTCATAGTTGCTCCTCCCCCGCCAACACACACTCTTTTTCCAGCCTACTTTCATGGTTGCTGTTGTGGAAGCAATTCCATAGTACCAATGATCCTTGTTGCCCTACTTTGAAACTTTTTCCGGTTTTGTCTCTTGCTTTTAAGAATAAGGTACCAGGACTGCACCTGCTATTCACAGCGTGAATTAACCAGGAACACCAGCATCATGATTTATATGCTGTTCAGTGTTCTTTTCCTATTAATTCTGATAGTGTCATAGATGCTGTCAACTCATACGGGTGGGTTGCGCTTGAGCACCACCCCTAAGGCACAGCTTTAATGTCAGGTAGACAAGAACAATTTCAAATCATGGAAAACATGAAAATAATAACAAGAAAAAGAATGAAGAAACTAACTGAAACTGGGCTGCTAATGTCAGTGTCTCCTGCTGGCCAGTTATGCGGCTGGAAAAAGGAAATCTGCTCTGTCAGATGCCAAATAAGGTAATAACTACTGATATATATAAGAAAGAATGAAGAAAAATAAATCTTGCATTGCTGATTTGTATTTCTGCACAGTGGGACAATTTATTTTCAAAACTTCTGTGCACAGGATCCTGAAAAGTAATGGAAGAATCC